AGTTCAGTGCACTACAAAATGAAGCAAATTTTACGGCAAGAGACTAGTAGCCATTTTGAAAATGCATCCCTCTGCAAAACGGCTAAATAGTGACACTTTCGGACCCGATTGAATTCAAATTGCTCCGAATTGGAAGCCCTGAGTCCGGGCCAGAGGGTCAGTGCCGTATTTCTTCCATTCCCCAATTCCATGGCTCTCAGGACTCTCTATGAAATATTTTGAGACTATAACTTCTATTAATAAGCTTTTTTGATGGACATATTTCTGGCCTACTTACGTGGGTGCACTCCGATGAGCTCGCCCACTTTAAATGTGACAGTGCCTGCAAAAAAGAAAAAAATCCGATTTTTCCGTTTCCGTTCTCCCTGCTTTCATGCTGTTTGTGTAGGTAATATAACCCTGACCTATGGAGTTCCACGTGTCAAGGTCTAAACATCCCGAGTCTGAACGTGGCGCCTTGGTACTAGTGCCTCGTGTCCGCAATCTATCTCTGCTGAGTATGCCTCCCGATTTTTTGGGGGGGGGGGTTCGTAATTTTGACGTCCATTCTTATCCATTTCCATCACTACTTCAATTCGTACTTTTTTGCTCAAAATACTATTAGACACGAGGAACTAAGTTGTGGAAGTCTTACACTGAAGTAAAAATCAACAAGTTTTTGTACTTTTCATTTGTTGTATTAATTATTACATTACGACGTTTGCATAAAATCAGTACATGTACTTTGCTTTGATCTTACTGGTGTTAAAAAATTGTGAGCACGAGTACCACGAGCATATTCCAACCTGTAGAATATAAGAATCCCTTGTTTACTAGCTGCGGAAGCGTGCTATCGTGTAACTTGCTCAGTGGACCGTGGCCCCGGCTAGCCCCAAGGGGAGTGAACCCATTGTCAACAACGTCACCGTGACGGTGCCACGCCGTCACGGTCAGCTTGGCTACGGCGGGGACTTGGAGCGCCGGGGTATTTTTAGAACAAGGGAACTGATAGAAATTGACCAATGATCTGAAAAAGGTTTCGAAACTTTCTGATTGGCGGTTTGAGTCGTTTGTGGCGAAGCAAAGGTATCACCAAAGTGAGTGTAAATGGCGCGAGAAATCCTTCTCAACACTCGGGAAATGAAAATGGAAGGGACACTCAAGAAATCGTAACAAGTAAGAATAATTAAACACGAAGATGACTTTCGGGATATTTATTAATTCATCAGAAGAACCGCCAGCGAAGTTAATTTTTACAAATTCTGTTGTCCGAAAATAAGGCCTATGTGCATTTCCAATCCAGGTAGGGACACATATCAATGACTATAGTCTTTCGCACTGTCGAAACCTTGAGCACTGACTTAACAAAGACTTTACTTACTCGACTCAAGGTTTTAATAATCGATTACCCACAGTGTCAATGTCCGGCCTTCATACCGCACGCACTTGGTATGGAAGTGCACTGATACGGAAGCCGGATAGTGCCATTCAGGGATAACACTATGGAACTTCTTTTCTGAACAGCCTCACTTATCCAACCGCTGTGTTTTGACGTAACAAGCATTCGTGAAAAGGCACGTCGTTTGTATCGCCAAACAGTGGAAACCAGGGCCTGGGTTGAAGACTTTTTGACGTTGCACGGCGGGACACATGGGGGGGGGAATCTACCTTTTTGCAGGGTAACAAATTACCTTAATTACCAAACTTACGGACACGTTTTACCAGCGTGCAACCCGGTTAGAGTTGGGGGGGGGACATATTTACCGGGGGCAGTTTTACCATTTACACCCCCACTTATTATCTGAGGGCCGCCAGTTAAGTGGCGACTGTCATATGATGGTTTCAAAAAATGTACATGGGCACGCGTGGTTCAAAAAAAGCGCGCATCCCTCGGCACTATCCGGCTTCCGTACACTGATAACTGACGCACAGAGCTCTGCGTTTTTTGTTGGTGTGAGGGCGGCATCATTCCACATCAACGATGACGCCCCTTGATTTAAAGGGACTCCGAAAATGACGCTATTTTTTTTACACCATTTCGCCCACAGATTCTGTGACCTAATTAGCAAAGCTAGTCACTTCCCATTCGCTATTCTTGCTAGTATGCATGACCAAACTAACGCTATCCGCTTCGAGCAGAAGAGCCCCCTCATCGGTTGAAGAGAACCATTCTGGTCGGGAGTCGGTTCATATTTCTGTTGGTAGCGATGTGACTGTAACGTTTGCGTTTCATAGTCGTTCGAGAACCAGCGATGTGCAGTTACTACCGAAGGATCCTCCGCTGGAAAAAAAGTGCCCTTTCTTGGTCCAGCTCGGAGCCCTACCTAGTAGCAATCGAAGACATGATTGCATGACTGCGGAATTGTGTGCAAGTTATCCGAACGTTGCATGCACCATGGATGCGCATACACGCGTTCCGAAGTGCCAATGCAGCAGGGCTTGGTTCAAATAAAATTATTTTGTAAAGAAGTAATTTGGAAGTGCTAGGTAAATTTTCCACAACTTTCTATTTAACATAGACACACCTTTTATATGTATTTAGATCAAATTAATCAGTTATCTAACAAACTTAAAGCAGAATCTATGGGAGAGGCGTTCTAAGACAAATAGTACTGCTTTCACTCGTCCACTTAAAAGACTTTATGATCATAATTTTTCCCAAACCACTCCAAAAATGAAGGAAATTAACTGCCCGTTAGAAAGCCATTTTGAAAATGCATCCCTCTGCAAAACGGCTAGTAATGCTACTTTCGGACCCGATTGCATCCAAAAGGTTCAGATTTGGAAGAATAATTCCATAGACCCGGAGGAGAAAAATCAACAATTGTTTTTCCAGTCAGGTGACTGGGCTTTATTTACGTTTTGTAAAAACAACAACAACAAAATAAACAAAAACAGTAACTGTTCAGAACAATTTTATCGAGCGGCAAATGGACTGCTCCATTCTACGAGGCTGACGTCATCTCATAATGTCAAGTTACGAAATAATTGCCACGTTTCTCTATACATGAACGTGCTCTTTTTTGTGTACGTGTGGGCTTGCATGACACAGTTGTGACCAATCAAACACGACTGACCGCCGCGACATCGCAACAAATCAATCACGGTTCTATTTCACGGTGAACCGAGTTCCATACACCGCATTGCACGGTTCACCGTTGGCGGCGCTATAACGCGGTTCTGCAGGCAAAATGGCTGACGAAGAACGTGAAACAGCGTTTGTGCCGACGGAGGACATGGACGAAGAGATTTCAGAACTCGGCCCAAGTGATGCTGACTCCGTTAATACAAAGAAACAGATTAAATATGCTGTCGCGCGGTTGGAGGAGTTTGCGAAGCACACGGGGACGTCTGTCGAAGCACTTACTGATTCTGAACTGGATAGTTTCTTGTCGCAATTTTACGTCGCGCTGAGAAGGGAAAATGGCGAATTGTACACAAAGAAATCCATGCACGGAATTCGTTATGGACTTCATCGCCATTTCCAGTCGGTGAGAGGAATCGACATAAATGATGTGAAGGTTTTTGTTAACAGTTCCAGAGCGTATAGGGCCATGATGGTGAAACTCAAAATGGAAGGAAAGGGTTCGGTCAAGCATAAAGATCCGATCACCAAGCAGGACATGGCCAGGGTCATTTCATCACTGGACGTAAACACACCGCAGGGTCTTCAGGATAAAGTGTTTGTAGACATCATGGTATATTTTGGAAACAGAGGAAGGGAAAATCTTCGAGAAATGAAGATCACTGACTTCGTGCTTCAGAACGATGGAGACCACAAATATGTCATCCATCGTGACATGCTCGCAAGAGCAAAACGAGAAGATGAAGCGTACAGTGGCGTCATGCGTGAAATTCCTGGATCAAGTAAATGTCCAGTTTCTACATTTCTCGCCTTCAAGGAAGTCTTAAACCCTGAGGTTGACTGCATGTGGCAACGGCCCAAACTCGAGGCCCCAACAAAGGGACCATGGTACACCAACGCTCCCCTGGGGATCAACACGCTTGCTACCAAGATGAAAACCATCGGTGAAAGAGCTGGTTGCAGTGTAAAATACACCAATCATAGTCTGAGGGCTACAACTGTGACAGTGCTGGATGCGGCCGGATTCGTCAAGCAGGATGTTCCACCCGTCAGGGGAAACAGACCCAGGCAGACGGAGAGACAAAGGAGTGCTCGCCTTGTGGCCAGAACGCCAGACAGTGACCTCGTCCCTGCGGAGGAAGAGCGGTGCTCGGACCATGTGCAAGAGACAGGCAGAACCCAAGACGAGATGGTTAAAAAAAATGGCATGGAAGTGGATAATCCTCTCAGCAAATCTCCAAAGCACCCGGCGCTCTGTGAATCCAGCTGCAGTGTAAACAGTGCTGCATCATCGCATGGGCATCAACAGGACTTTTCCCCAGGGTGGGTATAGGTCAAGGGGGACCCAAGAGAAGCACATTGACAAACCATCAGCATCGGAGGGGCCAGTTCTGGGGCATAATTTTGTTTATTTGTATATCTTCTCCTGTAAAGTCTTTGAAAATGTATATTGGGGTGTGTGGAGGGGTATCTCCTCCCCCCAACCAGGGGCATAACCACAGGGGGCCTTGGGGGGCATGTTTCCCACCACAGATTCTAGGTGCCCCCCTTAAAAAAACGGATGAATGGATATTGGCTAACAAAAGTTTTCCCCCAATAAACCACACCATTGGGAGCTGGTTCCTCCCCCCCCCCGTAAGGTGCTGCTGCCCCTTGTGCCCCCCCCCACTAGTGAAATATTGTAGGCAAAACTAGAACGTTGATGAAAATACTAGCACATGTATTCAAGTCGTCAATCAAATGACAAGGATTTATACAGGCATTGAATGGAACAAATACTGAATGGTTCACATTCGTGGATGTTCATTGTCATTCGAAAGGAATCATTTCATTCAGAATGTTTCATTTCACCGCATGAAATCATTCTCACTCATGGACTCGAACATTCATTTGTTGTGACTAGCGGTGTCCTGTGCAGACTAGCTGATTTATGGAAACTTGATTTCTCACCTTCGAATATGTGTAGTAAATCTCAAGCTCTTAAGGAAAATAAATCGCATGATCCAAATTCAATGTCGTATGCATTTAGGTGTGTGTTAACATGGTGCAGCACATGTAATCAAATATGATGGACAGCTTATCAACTTTATTTTGCCCGCACAGCCCTATGAGTTTAAAGTTACATTTTATACTTTGTACTTCATACAGACTTCCTGGAAATTCCACAAATCTGCGAAATTGCCCAGGGTTTCACGGCTGGAAGGATGTTTGCTACTTGGAACCTCTCGTCAAAGAAATTACCGGCTTGTCACTGGGTACCTTCAACCTTCTCCTCCCGTATCTCCCTAAGGCTTCTCTAGTGCAGTGGGGTTTGTCTGCAGAGAACAATCTTCTGGTGTTCCTCATGAGACTTAAAATGGCCACCCCCTTCAAGCATCTTGCTGCTCAGTTTGGCGTGTCCCCGGCCACCGCTGAACAGGTATTCATTCTCATCCTGGTTACCCTGACCGATTTGACGTCCGGCCTGATCCGATGGCCTCCAAAGTCGGTTGTCCGGAGCACCATGCCGGCCTTCATCCGACGGAGCTTTCCACACTGCAGACTCATCACGGACTGCCTGGAAATCGAGACGGAGGCCCTGTCGCAGCTGTTTGACCAACTGCTGATGATCTGCAAGTTGGACAGTGCCTTCAAGGTGAAGGCACTCATAGGGCTGACCCCTAGTGGCTACGTCTGCTTTGTGTCAAAGCTCTTTGGCGGCAGCATCTCCCAAGACAAACTCTCCCAAGAGAGCTCCTTACAGTACTTTCTGAACTCCGGTGATGAGATACTCTCTTTGACGCCCGACAGGTATCTCCCCAGCCTCCGAGGGATCAAGGTTCACACAGCGCCCGTCTCTCCCCAGTTCCCCGAGGTGAGCCTCATCTACCGAGAGGATGCCGCCTCCCTGAACTGCCACTTTGACAAGCTGCAGCAGCGACTGCGAACATTTGGGATCCTGAGGTCCAAGGTGTCGCTCGATCTACTTCCACACCTTGATTCTGTGCTGCACATCTGCGCTGCCCTTTCCAATCTTGAAACAATATCTGGAGACGTATGAATGAAAACCTTTCATGTCATCACATGAAATACATGTGCACAAAGGACAATGTTACAGAGCCTTGCATGGACAAGCAATTTTAAGCTGTTGATGGTGACATTAACAACACAGATCTTTTGGTCTCATTTTGTTGATTGTCAACAGGCCATTAGCAGTACCAACAACAAATTCAACTAAAGATGCCAGTAAATCTTGCCCATTGCTTGCCCGGAAAATGTTAAACTCCGCCCAAAAGTATGGATCAGCACACTGGATGGGAACTCTTTTTTCCCAATCGACCTTGCAAAATTTGGCCGATTTGGTCATGAAGTTATCTCTCTGGTCTTCTGTCGAAGTCCATTTGTGATTGGAATTTTTACGCAATGAGAGTAATAAAGACTTCAACTATTTAAAGTTCACAGTTAAAATATTGCTTGTTTTGAAATCGGTCTCTGTGTGTGTGTGACTTATGGTGATAGTATGGCCTATAACTATGGATCATCCAGTCGGCATCAAAGTTTAAAGGTTGCTGGCAGATACCATTTAATCATCACCCTGTTCAATGCTTAAGTAAATCCTTCGGCACCTGAACCCCCCCCCCTCTAAAAATTCCCCACCTGTAAAATAATTTCCAGTATCACCTACGCGTTTGGACATGTCACTCAATATCCACTTAACTGCTAAGTGGAAGTTCTATATCTGCGGTGAGGGCTATGGCTGTTATTAGAATAAATTACATTCAAAATTACATATGCATGTACCTGTAGATGCAAATCGTATAGACTGGACAAGAAGGGTCGTCAGGGAGCGTGAGTGGATGTCTTAATATACAAAGAACATTAAACTACCTAAATGTACGGTATAAATGCACTCTTCAGTTGTTCACATCCAATTAGTCCTGGGAACGAGGTTGAGATTTGCCTTTTTTACAGGGACAAACACCACCACAAAGGTGAACATTTTAGCTTAACAAATCAACTAGATCTGAATTAAAAATACAAACCCATTGTATCATCCACCAGATTGATAAAACAGCGGATTGACTGCAGACTAGTGTGAGAATTTTCCTCTGGTCTCTCTGCTTTTTTTAGCCCGTGAAATTTTAACCAGGAGCACAACCCACGGATTTGTTGACACCGGTATTATTGTACATGTGCAGTGTACATGTATTTTTGAAACACAGTTTACAAGAGCGCGTTGATTCCGATTGAGTCTAGCGCCCTCTGTCACATGGAAAGTAGGCGTGAAGGAGGTGTGTCGATTTACAGATCATCGATTGGTTGACGTAACCGAGTCAGACCTCCCGCAACAGCGATATCGGTATGCGATTTGATTGGCTGCGTTTCTGACGTAGGGAATAAATTAGCACGGCACGTGACGTGCCCAAGTTCGGTCAGCTTTTTAGCATACGAGCAGCATCGTCGTCATCTTATTGTTGGTTCAGCGAGCGACAAGGCGGAGTTAGTTCGTGCATGGTTCGTGAGGCCGTGAAGGAATATTCAGTCAACAGTGGTCAGTTTTAAATTTTGCAGAGTTCACTTCAAAATCTAAACGTTGGCTTTTCGGCAGTTTAAAGAGTCAGAACTTGATCAGGATGCGTCGACAGCGATCTCTCATGGCCTTGGACGAGGCAACGCGGTGTAAGCTCGTCGTCGTTGGGGATTCTTTGAGCGGGAAAACAGCCATGCTGCACACATTTTTGGGTCGCCAGTTTACAGACGTAAGTAGATGCCCATGCTCCGTATTTCCACTTCCAGAAAGGCCAGAGAGTTGACAGAGCGACGCGAGAAGTTTGAATTCCCAGATGAAATGTTCGTTGCCATTTTTAAAGATCATTAAACAGAAGCCTCACAAGTTCTATCTTTCCTCCATGGTTCTACAAATAAAAATGTCCCTCCAGCTGATGATGAAATGAATGAAATGAAAATTAACGTTGGGACCGAAATGTTCAAACCTGGAGACACTTGATGGTCGTCGTAAGCATCTGGGTGATTGAAAGTAGCAACCTTGCTCTCGATCTCGTGTCCAAAACTGAGTGAGAGAAGATAAACGGACACAGTACCAATGGCGCTCCAACGTGACGTTCTGTCTCATGAAAAAAAAAAACAAAGCCAAACTTTCCGCTTAACTGTTACAGTTGAAGGTTGCTCTGAAGAATTCCTTCCTTCAGGATTATTTGCGTGTTTGGAGGAAACAGCGATGGCATTGGGCACACCGCCCAGGAAATGAGTAAAGTGTCTGTACATGTACAAGCAAGTGGTGAGACAATGCATATGGCTGTGAAAAAAAATGTGGCCGTAAAAAGTGTCTGGTGTACGCCAACACGATGACCAGACATTATTTTACATAGTGCGGTTTTTAATGGGTGATTAATTTTAGTGCATTTTTTTTATCTATGCGTTTCAACGAGTGAACCGAGTTCTTCCACGACCAATTCCTGTTTTGTAGTTTATCCTCGCGTAAAGAATTTTAAAACCCCTCAAAACCACTTGCTTTCAAAATAAACCACGACACCAGACATGCTACACGTACACATGTGGTCATGTCATTCCCTCAAAAAAGCCTATAATCTATTTCCAATTTAATTCAATTCCAAACCGTTTTCTTTCCGATGATGAAATGTTAACCTGCAGACCTTGCTGAAATCTGCACCAAACATTGTGTATGTAAAAATGGTACGTTTTATCCAACGCAGGTGCACACCCCCACCACTTTTGAGAACTACTCGTCGACAATGGAAATTAACAAATACCGAATGGAGCTCACGATATGGGACACCTCAGGTAGGTCCCCTTTTTCGTGATTGTGAGGTGAAAATTGTGTGTGGGGGGGAGGGGGAGTGCTTGGAGGTATTTTGAGACTGGGGCATGTCGTTCATCAAACCCTGTCAACCGTATTGGCATTGTAATCCACGTTCGGCAGGTGCAGAATGTTTGGCTATTTCCAATCTTTTTTTATGCTTAAGACTGCCGGTGTGAAAATACTTCAGTGAGGCACTTTGAAAAGAGCATGTTTGAAAAAAAAAACCCTGGAATGTTTTTAAGGGGGCTTTTACGAAATACTCAACCATATTTTATTTGATATGTCAGATACTGAGATAGTGTCAGCACAGGGTTTCTTCAGAGCAAAGTCGCCGATCAGATGAGACATACACAATTTCTTTGTTCCGTGTTTGAACGACTTAAAACAAGCTGTATCACGTTTATGTTAATTAGTAATGTTCGCATAATACAGGCGTGTATGAAAGTCAATATAAAATAAGGGAAATTACAAAAAAATGAACATTGTGAATTAGCTTCATATGCAGCTTGTGCGTGCGTACCGGTGCGCAGTTTCAGTTAATCGCAGACATTTTACAACAGGGTTGCTATGGTGACACCATGGAAATGTGCCGATTTCCAAAAGTAACGTTAGCCTATATATTGCTATAGGAGGAGGTGATTTGCGGCAGCCGACCCAAGTGTGTATGTTATAATTAATCAGCGGAAATGGAGATGTAACAGTTCGTAATGCGGCGACTCAGACTAGGGAACATTCACCTCTCTGATATTATCAACTTCAAGCTATGCCAAAGGGCAAAAATGTCGACTTATTAAAAAGATTCAGCCCTTGTTTTCGCCCATGGATATGGATCAGCGTAAACAGCCGCTGGTGCAGATGGTATTGTGTGTCCTGTTTTTTCTGGCATAGTTTGTCCAGCTGGGAATGTGAAAAGCGCAAGTGTTTAACTCCTAGCGAGGCGACTTTATCTATAACATAATACCAGAAGGGAGACTGACAGCAAAGGAATTCAACATGTACTTAAACTACCAAATTCCACTGCCCAAGGAAATGACAGCTAAGGTGAAATCAAGTTTCTTTGCTGGAAAAATGAAACGGTAACTGGAAATGAAGAACTCTTACTGCAGCCCGTTCTTTAGGATCTCCTCACTCGGAAACTTGTAAGATTTAAGACAATGACGTAAACAGTCGACCTTTCGCCTGAGTTTGCTTAATTAACTGCCTTGGCCTCCGTCGAGGCGCTAAGTCGGCTCAAATCTCACAAGCGGTTGACTTGTTATGACCAGATCTTTTAATTTCCTGCTCAATGTCGAGGAGGATTGCAGGTTAATGTACATGAATAACCTGAACAAAACCTTCATATTTTGTTAATGGAGCAAAAGTTGCTGCGATGCATCTTACTTTTCTTTGTGGTTTACGGGGGGGCAAGAGGTCAGCGCTGTGAGAGGAATTTCGCTTGAAATGTCAGTCAGACATTGCAACCCCGTGTGTTGTATTTAGTAAACAGCCGAGCCTAGCCTGGGGTTAAAAAAAGCAGGTCCCGAGGAGTGTTGTGACAATAACCAAAAAATATGGCGGGGATGGTATTTCGGAATTTAGAAGTGTCAGCGCCGTCTTGATCAGTGACACACTCGCCACATAGCCGCGCCAAGACCAGGCAAAATTTCCACACGATGTATTACGCCGAAGTTGCTTGGAGTCCGTGCTTCGTGCCGTAACATTGCGCGTTGAATGATATTAAGCACGAAGTCGCGTGCATGACTTGTGCACATACGTCGGGCGCTGGCAAGTGGTGATTGATTTATGCAAAGTTCAAGTCGACTCCATTTCAAAACAAATATACCATGTGTCCTTTCTCTATGAATATACTAAGGAGCCACCTGCGCGGAGCTGCACGCAGGGTACGCATTCCTGATCTCCATCAAGAAGAGTAGAACAATTTCTTTGTTTGGCTTGCCAGCTCATGGCAGTCGACATTGCGAATATTGAACAAAAATAAGTGTTCCCATAAATGTCGTGTTATCGTCCTGGGGACCTTTTAAAGTATTAAGTTGTAAAATTTGTGTACTGCATTTTTCTGCATTGATGCGGTTTGATATTTCTCGAGGATGGTACTCGCTTGACAACCAATTGAAAATTAAGGGAAATTGATTTTAAAAAATCTGAACGAAAACGAAAGCGGTTTCGGCTGATATGCCGACACAGCTACAAATCCACTGGTTCCCTACAAGCAGCAAGTTCCCAAATCCGTCTGGATTACCGTGCAAGTCGAAGATTTGTACATGAAATTGCGAATTATTTCATTAGGTGACTCATTTTTGTGAAGATTGACGCGGGTGTCCAGATGGGTTTTTAGCGGACGAGCTTGGACCCGTACGTGTGAATGATGATGTCATGAAATTCCATGGAGATGTCATGGCGGTGAACTCGCCTCTGAGTCACCCAGCTAGGCATTCGGTTGTCTCGCTGCAGGGGAACTCCCTGGCTTTGCCTGTTGTTTTGAAAGCGATGTTCCCCCGGGGGAAGCCAGTATTCTCTGGGATCTGTCGCAAGACTTTCGACAAGTGTAAAAATAGCTGCAGGAAAACAAAAAACAGATAACTATAGATCCTCCCGTGGGAAAAACATCAGTTACTGCGAAAAATGTGGCCTTCGAAATATCCCAGATTTAGAATGCTGTTTTGGGGGGAATTTGTGTCCTGAAAAAACTTATTTGTTTATCACAGTTTGTTTTTCACAGTGGCTTACTTTTTTGTATTTTTTTAATTCCAGACATGCTATATCTGTTCCCTCGTCAGTCGTGTTTTTATCCATTCATCAACAAACCAAAGACTGCATCTATGATGTCACAGAAAATTAAGCAAAGTCACAAGTGATGGGTTGGCTGGCTAATCCAGTTCTCATGGCAACACCGTTGCAGATATGGCACTTTCAATTGACTCTTCCAATCAGATTGATGAGTAACCGTGTAAAGCGCACTCCTAAACGAACGACACGTCCAATAATTGTGACATCTTGGTTTTGCCGCCGAAACCCTTGTCGCGTGTTCATTATTCATGGCGCCGTGATTCATCATTTCATGCACGATGAATCACGTCGGGTACTCCCTACAACACTCGCAGCATGCATCAAAAGGCTTATAATGAGAAGCTTTCTTTCGCAAGGTTTTGCTAAACATCATGAGTAAGCGCGAAGACAATACACAACAGTCCGTTTTTATGACCTTGAGAAGAGAGCCAAAGAACCACTCCAACAAGATGTTTTGAGAGCATGTTCGAATATTCCGGTAATTTTGGGACAGCATGTATTTTTTTTTTCGTTGGGTAGGCATTAATCTGCCGCGAAATCTCGTAGAACTCCAGTGCCGCGAAGGTGTTGGCCAGAGGACCAACATTCTCACCAAAATGGGTCAGATTTCAGTATTTCTATATAGAAAAGCCCAGTGTGACAATTACGTCGGACTATTGGTCTCCACTCTTCCCTACCGTGCTGGGCTGTTGCAACATACGGCTGGAAAATTCCCATGTTGCATTTCCTCAATGTTTACAAGGAATTGTCGTGTACGCGTATACGTGACGATCTTATGTAACCCCGCAAAGTGCCGGCACACACCTCACCATGCGTCAACCGATACATTTTCGAAAAAAAAAAATGTTACTGCAGAATCGTGGATGATTCGACAAATTCAACTTGTGACCAAGTTGTCGAAACACGACTTCAGCGTTTTATAAAATCCTGACTGCGCGACGTTAAACCTATAGAGAACGCAACCGGACACTTGTTTCATATTCAACTCTAGATCTGACCTCGGTTCAATCTTATCTGCTCTGGTAACAATTTTGCGCATATTTTAATGAGAAAGGCAAAGGTCGGCCAGGGCGGCGGCTGTACACAGAAGAAGCGGGCGAGTGAAATTGTTGACACTGCGCTTAAGCTGCGAGCGATGATTAATTTAGTGGAGAGCCGCCGAATTCCGGCAAGGAGTTCTACAGAAAGGCATGGACTAAACTTGGAGAATACTTCACACTATAGAAATGAAGAAACCTAGCGAGAGTGCAAACAAATATGTATTAAGTCTCGCCACTGGTGGCAACTCGGTTTCATTTTCAGCCAAGAACAAGTAGCCGATCGATAGTGAAAAATATACATGTTTATATGCGCATGACTTGATAAACCGTGAGATAAATTCCATATGGCGTAATTCAACAACCAGTTTTTGTATATAGGCCTACGCAGTCACACTCTCTTGCAACTCGTCTCGACTAATGGAGACCGTAATGATTTCCGACGCGTGCTGCGCACAAAGAGAATTTTATATTCACAGGAAAGTACGGGAACATTCCTGCCGTGAATTTTCGAAGTATATCCAGCCTCGAATTTTAAAATAATATGGTTCCGCATCTGTTTCAAATTGGGGACTAAAATTGACTGAAAAGAAGGAAGAAGGATAAGCCTCACGCGCGGACGATTATGAGGTATTGGAGCTCGCGTGCTGGGTTCGAGTCGACGAGGAATGCGCGGAATGCCGTGGTGGGCAGGTGATAATGTAACTGACTCAGACACGCGTCGCGTCGTGTCCACGGGGCGTGGACCTGTGACCGGACCTGGGATTCAAAACAAAAACGAAGTGGTCATGAGACTTTCCCTGGGTCATTAAATTTTACTGGCCATATTGAGTAGATTCTCCCTGGGGCGTAGCACCAATTGGGGATGGCGGCAACAGAAATTTAAATTAAAACTGGTACGTGAATCTCAATTGAACAACAATTCCACCGTAATATATTTCAAAGACACGCAAAAGTAACGTTAACTTGTATATAAGAAACGAGCGAAACATGGTACAGTGCACTAAAATTGATGCCAAAGGGTAGAATGAAAATGGCTTTGCGTGGTATTGTGGGTAAGATTTGCTGGCTGACCATTTCAAAAACATTCGTTATTAGTGTAATGAATATACAGTTACATGCAGTTATAGCCCCAGGGAGTTACATACCGGGTCAAGGCTGGGGTAGTGTTACCAAGAAGGCGTGAAGTGGAAGAGGGCTTTCACATTATCAGTATAATTACAGTTAAATAGTAACCACGCCGTCGACCACCTGTTCAGCCGGAATCCGCTTTCGCCTTCACAGATTCCATGCTTTCTTCTGTCTCGGCTGAATTCACCCGAAAAACACACTTTGCTTTTGCAGACAATTCATGCGTGAAACTAATCTCATTTCGGAAAGCGGGGTTTTTTTTTCGCCTTTCGGTCCATTTGCCCTGCCACACAGCCTGTTTTATTCAAATTGATTTGGGGTTTTATTTGACCAGGGGTTTTCAATACAACCCTGGGGTGTCTGTTGAGTTTAATAGGGCCACGCGTTGCGGACCGGACCCGTCGTAATTTTATCCCCCGGACATTTGGTTCAGTGCGTAAAAGCTTATGAACGCCAACCCCTTCGCCCTCGTTCGGCGATTTGAAGTCCTACAAGTACAACAGAATTTATTTAAAAAAAAAAGACAGGAGCGCACAAAGTCTATTTTGGGGGAACTTAAAAGCTGGAGGGTCAGACAATGGAGGGTCCACGTGGGAAACGGCGCCCGTGCCGGAATACACTGGACGGGGCCGAAGTGACAATGGCAGGGCGCGGGGGATAGCATATCGGTGTTGACACATTCGGTCCGAGGGGTCGGCGAGGCCACGCTGGTGGGTTATGTCCACCGCAGACTATTTGTCGTGCGCTCAGACCGCCAATCAATCTCCTGAGATCCGTATCGCCTCTGCAGCCATGGTTACTTACAGGCTGTGTTTTTTTTTTGTTCGGCAATAGTTTTTAGAAAAAGGTGAATGATAAAAACTGTGCATAGTAACTGCACACAATATGGGAAATCAAAATGCCACTTAACGTTTGACCCAAATTCTTTAAAATACTCAACCGGTATCTCAAAAACGTGAAGACTACACTTGACCATCAGACTTTTTATTGACCACACACAAACCGATTCATTTTAATCAAAGTCCATAAATGCAAGTGATTTTTTTTATGTATGACTTATTCATTTATTGAATCCCAAATTCGAGCTTCGGTGAGAACCACCCACCCGATCCCTTCCAATTCAGACAGATTTTTGTTTGTTCCAAAAGGGATCGTTTTTGTCCACTTTGTTGGAGCGCGGACACGGTTCTAGCGCGATCCCTTGTGGGACTGGGAATTTTTGGTGTCATTTCTCAGTTTCGTTTGGGTCAGTCTCACGGTCCTACCCTAGGCATACCCTGTACTTTCCCGGCCGTGACCCGATCGCGCAACAATGGGAGACCAGCGAGGATTGCTCCTTTTTTTTTTGCAGGTGCGTTTATGTACCAGTATTTTTACACGGTTTCGTCGGCTGCATTACAACCGCCTCTGGTGATCCCAGCGGTTGGAAGATTGGTCGACAGAAACGGCCGATGGTGAAGATGAAGTGGCATCAATACACTTAATATTTGCCCGGATTAGTCAAGAGTTGAAATGAAGGGAATAATCCGCGGGGGTGGTTCCCATTACAAATTAATTTCCTCGTCACTTACTTCAAGGTGAGTAGGTGACTGTTACGTGCCTACAGATTACTTTGAAAGTATACGCAACTTCGATGTTATGGATTCATGTGCCAACAATCAGAAATATTGCTGGTAACATAAATTACACGGCCGTTCCTACACCGAGTTTTAAAGCCCCTGTGTAAATCATGTTCACAGACAAAAGAAAAACATATAGCATGACAAGGCATTTTTTTTTTCAACCTCAGGTCACGAGAACAATTACTGAGGTGAACACGTGTAAAATTAACAAGAAAATACGGAGGCGTGTTACGCCACCTTCTCCGCCGAGTCAGAAGTTGAATGATTTGCCGTTCTCAAAATATTGCAACGCTGGGCCACGAAGGCCGACGTGAACATCAATCAAGGTCGGTATCGCGACCAGTTCAGTTTGTGACGTCACTATCACTGCCGATCTGAGGAGTTGCAGTCGCGAAGTTAGTGGGTTTTAGAGTGCTTTGTGATATTTTTATTAAAGGACACTTCCATGTCAAAATCCAGCGGTCGACGAAAGTGGTTTGTGGCATAGGCCATACGTGGAATTGACTGCGAGGATAAAAGATACCAGCAAGAATATACGGAGTGATGTTGACAAAACGAAATGTCTCAAAAACTGTGCGTGGTGTCGGAAAGTATGCATTAGCACTTCTAAAAATAATAGAGTTAGGCAGTATTTCGCAAGCAGCATAATGAGGCTCAAGTCCTTGTAACTAAAATGCATTTAAATGATATTTTGCATGAACTTTGAACAGCTCCTTACGGGTGCGTGTCAAACCACATTCAAATTGCAGGGTTCAGAACTGTTATAGGGACATTTTCGTTCTTTCTGCGTTGGTTGGAGTGGTTTTTTTTCTCCACGAATTCCTATTCTGAGAGGTGTTTATCTTTTTCCCACTGGGGCGCGAGGGCTGTTTGTTATTGCTATGGGGATGTATTTCTGATTTCCCTGGATAATCTTCTCCGGAATTTTATGCGCAAACAGGGCAGTGAACTGGTCGCGTGTACTCAACACATGACTGACGAATTTGTTCTGAATACTGTAACCACTCCCTCCCTTCTGCTGCGAAGTGGAACGGAATTTCTCATGTCAGGTCTGGAAGAACGTGAGAAATACGAGGTGGAAAATACACGAAAAAAAAAACACAACCCAAATGATTTATTCTTGGTGGATAACAAAATCCCGTAGAACATAAAAAAACCCTGCCAAGAGGTTCAAATTCTGAGGTCGGAAGTCTCCCGGATTCTTTCGTTTCCCGTCGTTTTCCCTTCCCATAGTCTTGTCATTTCAAGGTTGTGCCTACAGCAATGGAATTTGGCTAGTCCGCAGCAACCTTCTCATGCAACCAGGGTTGACTGTAATTAGAAAGTGATTCAGATCGTTCGTTTTGGCAACAAATATAAACAGAGGAAAGGGGGAAAAAACGAAACGACGAGAGATAGCCTCTAATGAGCTAGGTTCATTTGGAAAGGTTTTCCGTTTTGGAAATGAAGTCAATCGAATCGACAGGAGCGAAGTTGTATGTATTTGTTTGTAGCACTTATATGAATACACGTGTGTATACAACGTGGAAGAGTTTTAGACTACAAAGAGCACTGACAGACTATTGTTACAAACAAAAGGACCGTGAAATGACCTGTGCAAATTCTTTCACGACAAACATACTGTAGACAGCCGTATAATTGCATTACACAGACTGTGTTTTGGTACGTCTGTCAAAGGTGGTTTTGTGTTATGACTATTGCAACCGCAAGTGCATTGTTATGTTAATCTGGTGCCAGTTTTCAAGTGCCAAATTAGGTTGGTTACGAGCTATAATTGATCTCCTAGGGCCCAGACCTTGGTGGTGGTCAAGGGAAGCTCTCGAAACCTTGCAAACTGGAGTTGTACAAATGTACGCCCAACGACGTTGGCGTTAGGCTCAGAAAGTCGTTGGGCTCGGAAAGCTGTAAGGTCTTCAGCGAATGAGGAATGTTTATGCCAATAGTGTGCGCATGATTAGTCTGCGCATGCGCGGGTCTTGCCAGAACAGTATGTGCGAGATTGAAAAGGTGACCCTTTGACTTCAGGAAATCAACACATGCGCAAGTGTACCCTGGCAGAGATGAGGGGATACGAGTCCAGACTTTTTGAAAGTTGTGGTGATGGACATCAACGCGGAAGTTACAAGCGGCGTGCAGCTGCAGCTGCGCAAGCGCTCCGTGGCGCAGTTGCTCGTCCTAAGCCTGTCGGCATTGCGGGTCGGATTCCCCGTCCACGAAGTCAAACCGAGTCAAAACGAGATTTATCTTGTGGGCGATGAGCTGAAGAGCGACCGTCGGAAGGGGGGGGGCTATCTCCGGCAGGTTAGACCCGCGTCCGGCTGGCGAGATCCCGAGGCGGCCGTCCCGCCCACCACGGCCCGTCTCCTTCCGGACGGTTGTCTGTCGTGTTAAACCACTGTCGTACAGTGGGCGCCGCTGAGGAGTTTTCCGCCATTTTGCACCCTTGAAATTGTCTGCATCAATTTCCCATCTTTAGCATACAGTCACATAACCGGCCATTAAAAAGGGTTTGACCAGTCACAGTTCGACTTTCAAAGCCGAGAAACCATCTCCAGATAGCTAGTGAAGGACTCGATTTATTGTGCTGGTATACCATACGTCCTATGGCACAACCCGTTAAATAAATCATGACTATAGATTTTCTCTGAATAAATATAACATGTCCCAACATCGCTTATCAGTGAGACAAAATAAATGCTCAACAGTGCAAGTTACGCCCTGAAACTGCAGTTTCCACTGAAGGGCGCATGATAGGTCATTCTCAAGTAAGGGTGATATTTTCCACTTCGAAATGTCTAACCTAGTTTCTCGCTTTGAAAATAAGAGAGTGACCATTAACACTACAGTTTCTTTAACCTCACAAGACCCAGACCTTCTCGGGCGACGCTGTTGCTCTCGACGACAGCCATAACGTCTTGATTTATAGACAACCTTTACCCCAACTATGCAAGTGCGACAGGTGAAAGTAACAGCAGTGCGGTAGTAAAATACACAAAATATACATTCCATCTCAGCCGTCGGTGTTGAGTTACCGTACCATCCAAAAGAGCGATAGACCTGACGCGTAGAGTTTGTTCTTTTTCTCAAAAAAAAAAAATCGCGATTACCCTCTGGCATGTTTATTACTACTAGATGTTACTGGTTTTGCACATTTTCGTGGAACACTTTTATACATGTTTTTCCTTCCTTCCACAGGGAAACCAGAGTACGACAGTGTGCGACCTCTGTCGTATAACGAGATCACAATCGCCCTAATATGCTTTGACATCAGCCGGCCCTTCACACTGCACAACGTCGTACGAAAGGTTGGTAGATAACACCGTAACGCACTATACACCGAATGATGGGTTCAACCCATCGAGTTGTTGGATATAATAATGTGGTTCAAACTACGGTAGATACATGTACATGCCGACACGTATAGGCCTACTACGTCGCAGACGAAAGAAGCTCGAAATCGAATATCAAATATCACGTTGAAATTCCAATTTTGAAAAAAAAACACATGACTTGTACTGGTGAAATAGCATTCACACACTTGTTTTACCATGCTATAAAAGCAAATAGCTGATATTCCATCGTCCGTAAACAACCAGTACCGCATATGATTAAGTCCACATTACAACGCTGACATTTTGCAGATGGCCGGTGCAGACGTCTGTAAGATATTAATATTGGGAAATGACATGCCTGCAATTCAAAGCATTCAAGTATAATGTGGTCCTTTTTAAATTGGGTTTCCTTGACGAGCAGTTGACGAGCTCTTGATGAAATACATCATCAGAGGGAGTTACTTAGCTGTGGAAGTAAATTTACTGTAAAGTGTCAAAAAGCTAAACTATAACCGATCTAAAGACTACAGTCAGTTGCAATGGTAACATTTTTAGTGGGGGGGGGAATTTTTACCTCGTGCATTTTCTGTGTGGGCGTTTTCGAAAGTGCTACTGCACCGAACATTCCTCCTGGATTTGCGCATGTCCCAATTGGGGGTCACGCTCCGCGCAGTTATTAATAAATTCGTTATTAGAGGTTTCCATGCATAAATCACTCCAGAAGTTCGGATCAGTCATTTAAAGGAGAGACACTTCGCATATTTTTTTTTATGTTGGTGTCGAAATATTTACATTTTCACAGGAGGCGTGGTAATTGGAATTAATGCAAATCTTCCTGCTGTTGTTATCAAGACAGGGGCACATTTCAAAGACAACGAAATTACCCCTCGGGGAAGTGTTCAGTTTATACCGGGTTTTGCCTCCAAACCGACAAATATGTTCACACTGCACGCTCAAGTGAAGTCACATGTGAGTGGTTAAGACGTCGGCACTGATAGCGAGTTCGAATCCCACACGAGGAAGCAATTCTGTGAATACATACGGCTGTATAAGGACAAAACCTAGTATTGAATCTCAGATAGCTGCTAATGGGCAGAAATTTGCTGAGCCAAGGAGATATCTGCTCAGCGAATTAAAGTAGGTTATCAGCCAAATGCCATGCAGTGCATATCTGTTGTGACTGGTTCCCAGCTGTCTTTGGCTGAGGACATCAATTTGATGAGCGACGTTTTCTAAGTAGCAGCTCAATAATGGCACTGGGCCGAGGTCTCTGAGAGACGGGGGAAAGAGCGTAATTCAAAATGATAACGATCAAAATACATGCACTTGATTGTCTGGTATCGATTCTAGTGTCTGTTATCCGAGAGTTACAGAATGTATCGATTCTTTCGTGTACATGCAGTGGCATCCGGAGGTTAGGAAGCACTGTCCAACTAGTCCGATTATTCTCGTGGGTTGCAAGATGGATCTCAGAAACAACATCCAGGTCATGGCGGAACTCTCCAAAGACAGAGGAATACCGGTGTCTCATGACAGGGTAAATATCATTACAACTAACCCCTTAAAGTTTAGAGGTCCCAAATTAATTGACCTACAAATAACCTTAGACTACAGTTTGAAAGTACAGACTACAAACTTTCGACCCAAATGTTGGTGGCAACTGGAAATAGAAACCATTTACAGCCTTCAAGTTGTTTATGTACTAACCAGGGAGTGTACTGGACACATTTCATTTCATTTTTTTTTCATTTATTATTGTGCAGGTCAAATTTACAATGGATAAAACAGAATAAGTAGAGAGAGAAAAATTACATGTAGTATAGACATAAAGAAGACAAAGTTAAAATGTAACATCAAACCTTCTAAAAAGACTTAGACCCAAACACCAAAACAGTTGCATGCCCCTACGGGATTACTAAAAAGCGAAGTAAATCGCTATCAAGTAGTTCTCCCATAGGATGACTAAAAACCCTAAATTGCAAAGTCACAAATATTTTAGTAGACTCACTTTAGAACACATAATCACAAGGGCGAGGAGACTAACCCTACAAAGTGTTACAAACTCCTTGAGTTTATGTGATTTTGGTGTTGCAACGGCCAAATGAATGACCCTGTTTGGGATTTCTTTAGACGGATGTATGTCCAGAAATTAACACCAAGTTTTGACAAAAAGCTTCATCAGTGAACAGATTTTTCGTGTAAAGTATTTCACGAATATTATTGATATAAATATGAAAAACTACTTGCAAATATTGCTGAGATTTTCGGAATCCCAACATTTTGTGGCACTAAAGAATTCCTATATACTTCCGCGGGTCTTGGTAATGCATTTCTTGAATCCGAGCCAAAATAACGGTTATTTTTGGCCCACCGGAATATACACAGTCACTCAAGTCATCAGTCGTCGCCAATTAAAAGTACAATGGATATAACGGCAAATTCCGATAATCTCGCAAGCCCGAGTTCCCATTTCCTGCTTGGCAACGCAGCCAAAAACCGACAGAGCCAATTTTCACCAGAGTCAGCCGAATCCGCGAGAACACGTGTGAAAGCCATCACTGATAACTTCTTTAGCTGATACGAGCAGCCTTTGGAAAATTAACTCACAGATGCCAGCCCCGAAAGAAAATGAGATTCTCACGCGAGTTGCATTGTGACGCGTACCAGCATGGACATAGCATGACCCATAATCCGGCCAGATTGTGCACCAGCGCGTCACTATGAAACCATGTGGTAATGATCGATCCAGGTACTTCTAGGAATTACACCGTATTGTAAGGTAATTAAAGAGGATGGCGTAAACAAAGGGGCAGTTTAAAGCACTGATATCGATAGTTTTTTTTCCAACGTGAAAACAAAATACACCCGGAACCCAGACTTTGGCAGCATTTATTTGCAAGCTGGAAAGGTTCCAATCTAGCCCTTCTTACTATGTTCCCATTTCTATTTTGACCTGAGTCACGTGTTGTTACAAAAAATGAGCGAAGAAATTGACTGGAGCGGGATGTGAACCTGCGACCTCCGGAACACCGTACCGGTGCTCTACCAACAGAGCAATCACATGTAGTTAAAGTCGAATCGTGGAAATTGTGTAGTTGTTTTCACTAAATATAGGCTTATTCTCAATATCAACTGATATCCCTCAGAATTTATGGTACCCACATCTCTCTAGTGCATTTTATGAGATTGATTTTCCCTCAGCGTGCATTGAAACCCACATTTCCTAACGTAGGTCTATGTCGAAGGATCCCATTGTTTTATTTCCAGCGTGCCAAATTCACTTTAATTGACACGCACACTCATAGTCGAGTCTTGGTTCAAGTCCAAGACCGCTATTTCAACTTCACTTCAAACACTGAGCTCTCCGATTCAGGCGATATTGATCGACCCTGACCTTTCTTTGTGCGGTTAAGACTGGAGGAAAATTGAGTTAGCGATGTTTGCGCCCTGAATTGGGATTAACCCTAAAAGAGTCGGGGCGGAACCCCTGGATTTTTTTCCCGAACAACTTCACAAATGTATTTTTTTGCGCCGGGCCTTCAGAGAGTTTTTTCTGGTGATATTTACGGGCGGGCATACTATCCGCATCGAGCTGAAGTGCACCCCCAATCGGCAAAAGAAAGACAGGTGGTTACAAGCGAATTTTTGCACGCGTTCTGCCTGTACGCCAAGACCGTACATGCTGAAATAAATTAGATATGCGTACTCAGCCGCGTGCTCCGCGTCACACGCGCATATACCTGCGCGTCTTATGGCACGCCTATACGATGAGTACCAACAAACAAACAAACCACGCCCTCTTTTGTTCCGCTCGGAGCGGTCGTGTAGCGCCCATTTTCCCGGAGACATGTTTTCCATGGGCGTGCTCGATGCACGGGAGCAGAGCCTGTGTCCCTGAACTTCAAATGACCGTAACACTAAAACCCTAACTCGGATTGAATTGAAGCTTACCAGTGGTGTTGATAATAGGTGTCTTTATATGCAAATTGATGTGTAAATAGATCGAGTAGGGGATAGCAGAGTTATTGGGGGAGGGAATCCGCCCCTCCCCGGCTGTGAGATGGTTCGAAATAACTCAGCTTTTTTCGGTTTAAAGTTACACAATACACTGTACAGACTTTAGTGAAGTCTATTGATTTGTACGCGGGTTTTCCAGACCGTATTGCCATTGTTCTGAACAAAAGTAATATTCATGACCTCTTGTTATCGAGGGAACACACTCATGACCGGAACAGGAAGTTTCCAGGCAAGCTTGGAAGCAGCTTAATCCAAGTGAACAACACTGTAGTGCAATCGTCACGTACACGGTATATACACTAGCTCTGAATCTTAAATCCTTCGGACGGTTCAGTAAATTGTAATAAAAAGGTGAAACTAGGAAGGTGAACAAACTGAAGCTACAAAGACGAGAAAAAGTGGTTAAGAGGAGCCTTTTGATTAAAATTTTTACAAAGATTGTCACTTCATATTCACTAGACACCCATAAAAAAATCCGTCCACTAGACACCCATCGTTAAAGTTGGCTGCCAAGAAGAGATTGGTTTTTATCGAATTGTTGTGGGGAACTGGGAAGCGTGGGTTAGTCTTGTGAAATTTAGAAAAACCATGACAAGGGGTTGGTAACGATTGCCGCTAGGGGGCAGCAGACAATCAGAGCGGTCTTTATAATGTGGAGAACGCATCTGTGAAATTCAGCAGACCATTATTATTCAACTGGATTACATTTCCCTAGCGAAGATTGCGGCATCTGTTTCCCTACATTTCTTTGTTGAGCGAGTACCGCTCAAAGTGATTTGCTCCCAGTAAGTTAGCACAAGGTGCGACTAATTGAAATAAATATGTGTTCATCTTTGGAATGCCAATTTGCAGGGAGCTAAGATCGGTTCACAGATCGGCGCGGCGGCGTACGTGGAGTGCTCGGCCCGCACCAACCCGTCCAGCGTCCACGAGCTCTTCGAGGTCGCGTCCCTTGCCGCCATGGGTAAGCTCAAACTCCACAAGTCCTACATCGACCTGCCGTCGGCGTGCAGGACCGGCACACTCCCAGGCCTGAGCACCACCTCCCTCCGCCGTCTCAGCATCCGCAAGAAGAGCGAGTCCAAGGTGCAGGCCCCCGTCAGGGTGAAGGCGGTGGTGGTCGAGAGAGAATCGCGAGGATGCATCGTCATGTGAATCAAGAGTACTGACTTTTAATTTTGGACTGACCTCTCGGTGTTCAATCCTGTGACTGTTGTCCAGCATTGTTCTTATAAACTTCGAAGCTGTGACCCACGATGCTTTTGAGCAAAGCTCTCATTTCTTATCAGGTAATTTGACATTCTTAACACCGCTTTGACCTACGGATGGTAGTTATAATGAAGCACTTTAGCATGATCACGACAATTCCGGAGAGGAATCAGCATGGTGTATATGATCACGTCCACCGACTGCACATTTAGCCAGTTTATGTAGATAAGGAGAAAAAGTGTGGTCAAGAGCCTTACCTATGGACACAACTACGGGGCACTTCGGTGGGATTCCAATCAACAAACTCATGGGCGTGACACACACGTGCTCTCGAACCGTATAAGATATACCACTCCACCAACTACACATGTACTTTAAATACAGCATGTACATGTATATAGAGAACATTCGGAGAACACAACTTGGTTAATTGTAAAGGGATTTCTCAAGAACATAGATTAAAAAAAAGGTAAGTGGACGATCCAGAATGGTGCTCTTTTGTTAATCTTGTGGGAGCGATAAATGTCGTCCCGAATATGTTTTATGTACAGATAAATTAATATCGATGTGTCCATCAACGCGTTTGCAGCAGAAAACTTTTGTATAAAAGTGCAATATACGTAGCTTCGTTCTTGCTTTATAAGTGAATGTTTGTCCCTGGACTTTTTTTTTTCAATACGGGCAATTCACATTGTGCACCTCCAAGAGTTTACAGCGCATTGACCAATCAAAGGGCTCAAAATCTGTCGATCCGATGCGCGTTTGCAAACTTGACCTTGGAGGCGCACTATTCTGAATCGCCAAGTATACAAGTTTTGCTTACGAGAGAATTCAATTTGCATTATAATGATTTGAACGAGATACTGTGAGATTAAGTGATTGGATTTTTCAATTTTCCTGGAAATGAGAGAACATGCGTTAGAACAGATGAAAGAGGAATCACGATTCAGGAACTGTGAGATCTGAATGATAATGATTGGTGTTAAAGTACGAAAATACCTTTGTGTGTGTAAATAACGACGCATTTTCCGACTCGTTTTATATTTGCGGAAAGCTTGCTACACAGTTTAATAAGTCACAAATAATTTTATAATATTAATGAATGATATTTTAAAGAAAAACACAAAGCAAACCTCGATTGTATTAGATGCTACCAACACATAGCGTTACGAAAGTGTTTCCTCAATTGAGTTGATATATACGAGAATTACTGTCTGAATGTTCAGATTATCATTTTTGTATGTGAGGCAGCGTGGACAAAAAAGTTTTCTATCGGGTAAACTTGGGAAAAGAAGTATGGATGAATATCACTGTATTTATATTATGTCTTGTTTCTCACCAAAAAGTATTTAAATAAAATTCAAAGTGTCCCGGTGTAAGACAAAATTGTGATTCCTTTGATCAGCATAGGAACTGTGGATGTGATTTGAAATAACTGGGCTCTGTGTTTTTATAATTAATATAATTATGCAACTCGTTCGATTTCTTTTATATCAGTGAATGTGTATAGTGTATATAAGTGAGATACTATGGATTCAAATGACTTAATGAATTCAAAATAAAGTTGGCACAAAATGCTGGGATACTGTTATATTCTCTCCACCAAGTTTATCTCTTGGTTGTGTTGGAATTGGGAGAAATGATGACGAAGCATCCTTCCATTACCGCTTAACTGCTAAGCTACTCACTGATACACAAGAGACCGATTGCACCGGCTAAGTCACTTGATTTACAATGGGTATCAAACATGGCGTCCTTCCATAGCAAAGTGTGTTATAACGTAGTGTTGTTTACCAAAAATGAAGCTCAGAACATCAGTAGTCTGAGCACTTTACCGATTGTCGGCTTTCTTTTTGGTAAATGACACTTATGACACACTTTGCTATGGGAGGGCGCTATGGGAGGGCGCTCTATAGGTCACGTGACTCAGCGAGCGCAATCGGTCTATTTGTTCGAGTAACTATTACCCTCCTAGATAGACCTACCGCTGGAGGTAGGATGGGCCCACCTTTTGGATACGTTCAATCTGTGGCTGCATACTAAACTTATTTCACAATGAAGTACTTTCAGGGGAAATTATAAACTGCGTCATCATTCGGTTTTCATAAAATGACCGATGATCTCACTGCGAGGGCAAAATGTGTCTACGTGTTTTTCCAGGCTGCAAGCATTCACAGTCATGAGACAAAGCAAATACGGGAAATGGCGCAAGGAAATGGCGCCGCTATCGTGACGATGATCACATGTGAACTACACCAGGGTTACTGTTATCCTGCGGTCGGGAAGGTGGAAAGTGCACTTGGTGACAGTGGAGGGTTCACGGGTCAAATTAAAGGGACGGAAAGAACTTATCTGCTGAGAGCGTGCACGTGAACTCAGTTCACGTGTATCGAAGAGCTGTGGAGCCGGCTAGCCGCGATACTCTCAAACCAGATACGCTAGGGAAAGAGTCCCATATACAGACTAGACGCCAGTAATTATTCCCTACAGTGACTTAATAGGCATCAGAAAGCAAAAACATATGTCCAGAAAAGTTCAGTTTGGGGGAAAATACCGAGTCGTTTATTTAGAAAACACTAGGAATTTTTTCAGACCAGTCTCAAAGGGTTTATGCACGGGGTGTCAAGGCGTCCGCATGTGGAACTCTTTCCAAGATGGTTCCTTTCCGTCTCTAGACTGGCATCCCCTGAGTCTATACCGTAGGGCCTACTTCCACTGCTCCCAATTTGGTAATATAAAAAGAATGAGTATCATTAAAGCACTAACCGTTTTATAATTGGACCACAGGTCCAGCGTGCTCATATTGAAGCCTTTTACAAGTGTGACACAACGTTGGCCCTCAATGCGACACGGAAGTGCGGGGAGTCCGGGTAAGACGGTTGTTTTCCCCCACACCGCTTTCTCCTTGTACGCCTGCCAGCTAGAACGCAAAGGCTTCCTCTTGTGTCCTTTTTTTCAGTTCTGTGTCGTCTCTCCTGGGCGACTTTCCTTGGCTTTACGGCCGTTAGGGGTAAGGCAATTCTGAGTACTTCGACGACCAGTTTCGACGGGTCCAAGTAGGCCTCGCAGTCCGGTCTTTCTCCACGTTACTGAACCCAGAGGTTGCCAGCGTTAGAATGCCATTTAGCTGTTCACTGTCCATGTACTTGTACACTTTAAAACGCTTCACTGGGAAGAGAGCATGCGTATTTTACGTCCAGAACAATGGTCCGTACAGACTGCTCTTGATAGAAAGCCAAGCTGGCGTGTTTGAAAAGGGCGTTTAACATTTTTTAAAGTTTCAAGTAAGCTCATATTAAGTTTCATCCTTGTTATGTTTCCCCAATGCTGTCAACTGTCACTCAATCATATGATGCAACATATGCGGTAAAGGGTACCCTCCCCTATTGTGTCTTCTTTTGTGTTGATGGAATCTTTGGAATTCCTTTCATATTTCCGAGGGGGATGCGGTAGGCATGCTGTATGCGGCCTGCAAAGGTATACAGCTTGTCCCCTTGTCCACGACATGCGGAACAGGGGTTCCGCATGTCGTGCAGGGTATCCATTCAATAACCTGGCTGGGAACAGCTGAAGTGTCATCCTGACCAGAACCTTCACCTGTTCCCAAAAAACACTCGAGAAAATCACAGAATTTGTAGAGGTATTTTGTTTCAGCGGTGCTCCCTATGCAGAGACGAATGGACAAAAAATGAATCAAATGCACTGAGTGTTATTTGGCGTTTTTATTTTGGAAGAAAGGGAGTCTAGAATTGGCTTTCTTCTGCTATTCGTTAACAGGAAGAAAATCCATTACACGTAGATGGCATTTTTCTACACGGATATACCGGCTTAATCAAAGGTGTTTAAAATGGAAGTGGAACCGTGCTGCATTAGTTGAACAGATGTCGCAGATTGAAGTTTCCTTCAAATTAAAGAGTTTCTGAACAGGTTGTCGAGAGGCGATCCAGCTCCAAGTGCGCGAATGAACCCGATTTAAGGGTTCAGGGACACAAGTTTGGTCAAATCAAATTTTGTTCAAAGTGAAGGAAATAACCTTATTTCACAACTCCATTGAGTGTTATGTAAGTATACGATTAATAACCGTTTATCCCCTCCCTGTTAAACACTGACGCACAGGAAATGAATGAAACAGGTGCGTCTGTGATTGAATGAAGTCTGCACGCTAGTTCGACAGCTTCACAAATTGCCGATGAAGTGTTAATCGAACGGGGGAAGACGGTGCCAATGCAACGTTAACTACGACTTCAAGGGGAACCAAGGAATGAATGGTCAAAAGTGGTCATTCTATAAATTTAGAGGCGTGTGCCTTACACCTGACCTGTGTAAGTCAACGAGGGATATACATGTATCATTGAAATTGACTTCAAACCATTTTTGTTTGGCAGCTAATTTGCATTACTTAAGCACAAATGGAAATTAAGGAATGTGTTCTGAAATTACAAAAATCCTACACCAGGATGTAACAGGGCGAGGAAGAGTCTACAGAATGACCGCATTTATTGAATGACCTTTGTGCAAGTTTCACTGTTAACCATGCATAAAACGACTTAATTCAGAAAAAGTTTGTTAAATACACACATAATCTCGAATTGCATTTTCTTTATTCCAAGAAAATAGGTCATCAATGCATAGTTTGAAAATTAACCAAATTCTAAAGTCCACTGAATCGAAATTTCAAAGGCTATAAAATGAGTACAATTGGTTCAAATCAAACTGTATACAGTGACAATCTTACAAAACTACCCATGAGTCAAAGCCAGTGCGTGGAGCCCTCTACATTTTTGATGGGTCCAAAAACTAAGGACATTACACCTTTGGTACAACCTCACTTTCAAGCGCCGAGTAGGATAATGCCGGGATAGGGCCACCAAATCCTTCAGAAGTCTTCAGTTGCAGCGAGTTGCATTCAAAGACTTTACACAATGAAATGTAAGATTTGGGTAAAAGAACAGCTTTTTTTGGCCACAAAACAAGTTCATTCGTAATTGGCATTTGACCAACACTACGTAACATGAACTAAATGACATGAACTAAATGTCGGTACTGACTAGATGTGGAAAATCCCAAGCATATGAATACATGCATTGATGGAATACTCAGATTAAGAGTTCGTGTTGTTTTGCATAGTTCAACTCTCTGGCTATAACTGAGTATTTACGCTAAGTAAGGAGTTCAGTTAGAGTGCTTTGTAGAAAGTACTCACAGTGAAAATACTCATTCATGAAATCAGTTCAGACGTACAACTTTCAACCTTACTGAGTTAGTGCAGTAAAAAAAGGCGTAATTTTGTATCATTTTAAGCATCTGAAAGTGCGTATCGCAACACACATTAACTGATCTCAATGATGAATATGAAGCTACAAATGAGATGTGAAAAAATGAAGACAAGGTGGACACAACGTGTCAGTTAGTACTCCTCTTAAAAAGCATAATCCTTGAGCCTGCTGGAACATCTACATAAGATAACAAAAATTCACCCAAATTAACATCCATCCACCCAATTACATTGGTCGATTGCAATATATAAAGTGATATACTTTGAATAGTTTAGAAGTATTTGTACAGCAAAAGCAAAATAATAAAGGTTTGAATAAAATCCACAGTAGCTTCCTCGCATTATTTAATTCTAGAGTAAATTTAGAGAGGCTGGTAAAAATTGGTGAAGTTTGTCCTCCCACTCTTGCCAGGTCTGGTGAGTGTTGAGGCATCTGATTGGCCAGGAGCTTCTACCAAGTTACGGCTGGGAGTCTGCCATTTGGTTATTTTGGTGGCACACCATGAAGCGCTTCAGTTCTCGTCACTGTCGAGATCTATGACTGGCTGAGAGCTCCCGCTCTCAGATAGAAGGTAGTCCGTCATTGGCTGAATCTTGTAGGTTGCTATGGTGTCAAGAACCCACTCCCTGGAGACAACGGGCACTCTGTACTTTTTGTAAAGTGCTAGAAAAAAAAAGAGAAATCCTGGTAAACTTATGTCATAGAAGAAGTGGAATTCCACAGAAATGCAGTCTGATAAAATCAATGGTTAATTCTTGGACTGTGGTCTTACCGTCGTAATCGTGCTCTGAATCGGTGGCCTCTGCCTGAGCGATGATGACTACCTTGCGCCCCGCTTTGTAGGGGAAGAGAGATGGGTGCTGGACAGTGCTTGCCCCCATCAGCTCCAGCAAGGAGACCAGTTGCTCTGAGACCATGGGAAACAACGTTTATTCAGCTAGCAATCTCACAATCACTAACATTCACATTTGCAAGAATGTTGATTGACTTCTTCAAAGGAGGTACAAGTGCCACATCTGAAGTGCGGTGTTAACAACAATTACCGAGTGCTGGAGAAAGTTGCTCTGGGTACTATTTGATAACTACTACCATGTGAAGATATTTATAACATGTACATATCCATCAGTGGCATTGCTCATGGTGCCGTAGGTCACTGTTACCCCTGCTCACCATGCCAAGAAACATTCTTAGGACTGTCTCAGCTGCCCAGGGAATGTACAGCCCAGTGAAACCATTTCAGGCGTTACCTGGCCAACGACCACACTAACCCTACATCGGCCTTCACGTATACCCATTTATACTCCTGGGTGGAGAGAAGCAAACGAGGGTAAAGTGACTTGCCTAAGGCCACAGTGTATGCCCCATGACCGAATTAGAACCCCGGACCTTATGATCGGAAGGGGAAAACTCTAACCACTTGGCCACACATTTGACTCGTTTTTCGAGAGAGGGTGCTAGAACTGAGAAGGTGAGAATGGCACATCCTCATAGTGCATCCTACCTTTGGTGAGGCCAGTGAAGGGGCCAACGCAGCAGACGTCGTGCTTGCATAGAGGGTACGGCCCGCGGCACAGCCTTGCTCTTCTGGGTCCGTTGTGGGAGGGGCCATTGACGACGTCGCCCTGTACCTCAAACGGCTCTTCCAAGAGGAGTTGCTCGGTCTTGAGGCAGGCAGTCACCCCTGGAGAACGTCATTTTCATGAAAACAGGGAACTACATTTGTGCATATTTCAATAAAATGTTTGTCACACTCAATTCTGTCTTGAGATCAGCTTCACTTATGAAAGACAAATATTCGCAGTTTAACTCTAAGGCCTTTGAGATGACAATGACAAAGTTTTACCAATTTGAATGTACTTTTATTGATCAGAACATTTTATGGACAATGTATTCAATGCTTTCCAAAAGCCTGCACACGTAGGTTTGAACATAAATCAAATAAACTGCACAAGATGAAACATGTACCATATTTCTCAAGATTACCACAAATATTGACCATATGCTGTTAGGTTTAATTAGAATTTGCATGACGAGTTCCCGGGGATTTTTCAAAATGCTCGATTTTCAAAATTCTTCAAATGTTCATAACTTCATTTACTGGACGTTTACACGTGCACGAATGACTGTCTTGTGGCTACTCTAATCTGACAGGCAACCTCCATTAACGCCCGAGTATTTCAGCCAGGCCTGCCGCCTTGCAAAGAGAGCCCAGATTGTGCGTTGTTGCGTAATTTCCTTTGTTCCTGCAATTGGCCTACTGCGCTGTTGACGTCTTTTCAAATGCGGCCTGATTAGCATGTAGCGGTATTGTATCGCTCGTCGCTGGAGTACTTTTTCCCTGGTGATAATCCGCTTTCCCTGAATGCCACAAATAGTGGTATGCTGTTTCAAAACAATGACAGATTAGATGTACCTCTGCTATTGACAACTAAAAAAAGTTGGCAATTCCCAGCAGCTCGGTCTTTTGTTCCGAGTACGGTCTTTTGTTACAAGGCCCAGCTCCTTTGTATGATTTTTGGCACCCCTGGCTATGCGTATAAACCTAAGGTCTCCCGTGTTGAGAACCCCAGCACGAAGTGGCTAAGCACAATTTGTATTTATTTCCCAATGGAGAAAGAACAAGTCTGTTTTGAGTACTCACATTTAAAGCTCACCACCCAAACTCTGGCTGCGATGCCTTGGAAGTACTTCAATGTCCTCTCACACACAAAGTCGTCATCTAGAAGAAAGAACAAGAAGGTAGAATCGGGCTGTGTCCAAAAGACATGGCTGCGACTGAGGGTAGCACACGCATCTATGGGGAATGACTGCGGCCACTAGCCTAGTCACGGCTTCCATAGGTACGTGTTAACGCTAGCCTCAGCCATGAATTCGGATGCAGAAACAAACTGAATGACACATTGCAACATCCAGAGTGGATACTCAGGCAAGCTTCTCTAACACAGCCTCAATGGTTCAATTGCCCAATGGACAGAAGTGAAATTGTTCTTTTTTACATGTTTATCAAGTTGACAGCCTGCGCAAGTTCATAAGATATAAAGAGAGGGGAACGTTCTTGAACAATGTGGGGCAGGTTCGAGGGAGGACCATTGGCTGACCAACTGGTCGATTTTTCCTGGTAACCTCCACAAGAAGTATATCGTGGGTACCAAGCAATATTGACCAGTGTCTGACAAACCGTGGTCGCTTGACCTCACTTGTCAAGGAGACACATCATGTGACACGTACAATAAAGATGGCACTGACACTGACACTGTGGAAAACACAAATGAAGCTAAGAAGGAGATGGTCCATGTCTAGACCAGACTTACCAGTGTTGACAATGACGTGAGTGGTGCAGGCGTTGAAAGTGCTTGCAAAACGGCAACCAAAACGCTTTGTAAGCTGTTCCACGTCCCTCTGGAAATTAAAACATCCGATTGCCAATCAAAGCCTCTTTCAGAAAGAAAATGGTGTCCCATGCCGTGAGAATGGTGCAACTACCTAAAGACTCAAGGCCTTAAGGAAAGAACTGTGAAACTTGAACTTGAAACTTCTTGGTACAAAGTTCTGTGTAAATCTGAATAATGTTTGCCCCAAAGATTAACTATTCTGTATTGAGTAAATGGAGGCTCAACTTTAAATCACTGTATTTTGGCAATGGAACTCACCATGTCTGTCCTGTTCAGGCCTGTTGTGACAAAGGACATGGGTTTGGCCTTCTTCTTAGCGGCAGGGGTGGTCAGTAGACTCCGTCCAATCACTGGACTGGGAGGTCCATCCTCTGGAATCTCATCTTGGTGCTGATTATCCCTCCTTGTCAAATGGTTGCTGCCGGAGGGCCCATCTTTCTTGTCCTTTCTAACCTCTCCTGGATTATTCTTCTTGGCCAAACCTCTTGAATGGTGTGACCATTTCTCACTCTCCGGTTCTGCTTGGGTATGCTGTCTAGATTTCCTGGCAGGGGTGGTGTGTTTCTTACCTCCTGAAGTTTTAGGGGCATTCCTGGTTTTACTCTTTGCTCGACTGTCTGAGAGCATCTCGAGCACCTTGCTCTTCCAGCCTGAAGTGCTCTGTCCAGGAGTTGTTGCCTGTCTTGGTACCAATCTCTTGCCAAATCTTGAGCGTGACTTTGGTGACAACGCTCCGTACTCCTCGTCATCAGAATCTGAATTGCTTATGATCCGCATCCCGGGATGATCACTTGACTCATCGGCAGTCCTCCTCTTCCCAGATCTTCGGGCTTCCTTAACAGATGATCCCTCATCAGAACCCTGACGGGATTTGATCTTCTCAACCAAAAGACTCACCGCTCGGACACTCTCTGGGAGGTTGACCAGTGACGCCCTCCTGACCGTCCTCTGAGACAGCTCCGGAGGAGGGGAAGGGGAGCGAGGAGGTGAGGGAGACCGGGGACTTTCTGAGGATATGTGTGGATCCTCCTGCTCGCTCAGATCCGAATCACTCCCATAGGTAGTGACGCCAGGAATCTCCAACTGGGATTTTGGAAAAGCACCGATTACTGATGCATCTTCCTGTGGCAGCACGGCATGTGGTGACATCCTCTTGGAGGTTGAATGAGGTAAAGAGAGAGGAGATGGGATACTGGGATTTCCTCCAGGTGTCAGCAGCTTCGTTTGCTTAGTATTTTCCGAGTCACTGACACAGGCTACTTCCCTGTCAAAGGCAATGCTGGTGCCATGCCTTCTAATGTTCTGTCCCGGCATGGTTGCATCACTAAAACCATCACAAGCATCCTCCTCGGATTCCAATTCTTCATCTGAAATCACCGACCTTGACCGCTTAGAGGTTGAATGTGATGACTTGCGATTGTTGCTCAAGCTTTGAGATGGGCAGTTATTTTCTGGTGCAGCTCTTCGAGAGTGGGAGATGGGCTTCATACTGCGAGCATCCTTGGTCATGTCATCTTGGGCATTATAAAGGGAGGGAGCTTCTGGGTTGAAAAGGTCACCTGGGGTGCAAGGGTCGTCTGAGGTCTGGCAAGGGTCAGCCTCAGAAACAGGGTCAGCCTCAGAAACAGGGTCATCATGCAGGTCAAAATCATCTCCATCTGACTGAGAATTCATTTCATCTTGGCTCTTTTTAGATAATTCAATCTTATCGCGATTCTGATGATAAGCAGATGGTTGGATGCGCTCTACTATTTCATCCGGGTGTTCGACAGGGGTCGTGTCAGAGTGTTTATCAAGATGTTCGGCAAACTCAGCCTCTGCAAGGGCTGCCTCCATTTGGGCAATCTCAAGAGCCATCTTCTTCAGTGATTCCTTAGCCTTGAGTCGTTGCTGGGGAAGAAACATCACACACACACGAAAAAGGACTAAATAAATGTAAGGTTGGAGGTCAAGAGAAAGACACCATGAAATCTCTCGTTTGAATTAAAGATTATGAGAAAAGACTAAAAAATGTATGTGTGCATACTGTGTCGGTGCAACTGTTCCTTACATGGTTCACTGTAGAATTGGAGAATATCAACCAGAGTGTGAAAATAATGAAGGTGCTCTAATTTTGGTTCTTGTCCTCGACCATTCTCACGTGAAACCAACACCAAGTAATATGCTGGTGTGCTCTGCTCCATGAATGTGGTTTTTATAAACCCTACCTGTGTGCTCATAAGCTCGCTCTGACTGGACAGCACCGAGGAGGCACTGGTCAGGTTCAGGTGGTGACTGCCGCTGCTCTCGGAGCAGGTGGAGCCCTCGGCTGTTAAACAACGGAGAAAAGTTCAACAATTCACAACAGTCAATCACATAGGTGATGACATCTTGACTGAATCTTCAGAGTGTGTAAGATGATTACTGATTGATTCATGATGATTATTCATTTCAAAGTTGTAACAAAATGGGATGAAATGGGACAAGATCCCGTAGTAGAAGTCTAAGGGCCATTTTTCTGGTAATTCTGCATTAGAAAGAGCAAACAGAGCCCTTTTTGGACATCTGGATCAGTTTGGCATCCTGATGAAGTTGGAAATTATCTAGGGGATTCTATTGATTTAATTTATGCAATTTTCATTTAAAAGCCTCTCATTCTGTGAGGTCGAGTCAAAAACTACAATCAAAGAAAAAGCTGAAACTTACTGTCATAATGCTGGTCCGCACCAATCAACATGACTTCTTCTTCTTGGCCTCTCTCCTCTTCCTGGCAGATGCCTGCGCCAACTTTCCCTTTGTCCTTGATGACAGCTGCCTCGTCTGTCAGCTTCTCCAGTATGACCACCTCCGGTGTCTCACATCTGCTGACTTCTTTTTCCCTGGCAAGTCCCTGAACACATCTGGCTTCCTGGTGGATATCTGGCAACTGTTCACTCTGCTGCTTTCTCGTTATCCTTCCAGCTGATGATCTTTCACAAGGACTTTCTAAAAAGCTGTCTCTCTGATCTTCATGCCCCTGTGCTCTGGCATCTCTTGGTTTATCTTGGACTTGAGCTTGATCCATGGGTAGACTCTTTTTGCTTCTTGAAGAAGACTTGGATTTGGGGCTTTTCTTCAACTTATCTTTTGGGCTCTCATCTTTGACACACTCTTGGAAAATGCTGAGGCTTGGGGTGTTTTCTGCAACATCTTCACTCGCATCATCCTCCATAGGACTGTAACTTAAGGGAAAAATTCTCTTCTGAAAGGAATTGTCAGCCATATCTTTGTCTTCTGCATGAGAGCCGCCCTTGCTACCGCTATCCTGTGCTGCACTCTTAGAGTTTGCTCTTCTGCTGCTGAAGTTACTTTCCCCAGAGAAACCATTCTTGGTTAGGTTAGGACGTGCTTTCTTGCCACTTCCTGAATTCTGACTCAAACGAGATGGATCTTTCTTGCCACTTCCTGAATTCTGACTCAAACGAGATGGATCTTTCTTGTTGGAGCTGGTTCCTGCGTGATGAGCTTTGAAGCGGCTTGATGCAGTGCTCCTAGTTGAAAGCCTGCTTGTGTTGCTTGATAAGGAGATTGAATGAACAAGATAAGCCGGCCGCTTACGAGTGTGGAAATTGGCTGTTGACTGGCCTGGTGGAGTGGGCGGGATGATGATATCCTCATCCTGATCACTATTGTCATTTTCATCATCACTGTCTTCTTCACTTTCATCAATTTCATCTTCTCCCACATCATGTTCTTTAACATCAGTATCATCATCAGCCCCTTCTATCCCTTCTCCTTCAACACAATGAGGTTCATCATCCTCAGCACTAACCATCTCAACATCTCCACTCGAGTCAAGTCGTCCACCTGCTTGACCATGTTGCCTATCACTGAGATTTGCCTGAATATTCAGGCCGCTTGTATCTCCTCTCACCCTGTCATCAGGGAAAGTTTCATGGCTTCGACTTGGTTCCCTTATTCTGTCTTTCTGAAGGTTCACTTCGTTAAGATCACTGCAATCTACATAGGATTCCCTTTGCAACAGACCCTCATAAACCTGAGATGATTTCCTGATGTTTCTGCTGGTTTGACTCTCAGTTTTATCTAGATAAATTTCTCCCTGTCTGGCCTGTTTCACTCTACCCACTGTGAGAGTTGAGCTCTTTCTCGCTCTTGTTTTTGATTTGGGACTAAGAGATGACGGAGGCTCAGTATTCACAGCATTTTCAGGACAGAGACTATCACCATTTTTGTGCATCTGTTGTTTCTGCTGATTATTTGAGCTCTGCTGTTTCACTGACCTATTGCTGGAACTGAAGTCTACAAGCCTGACTTCCTGACTTTTATCTTTTGAGACCCCAGTGTTTGATTGACTCTGGCTTGAAGAGCTGACATCTGTTTCCTGATTCCTCGAACTTTTCATCCTGAAGCTGAATCCTTTCCTGCTTCGACTTCCTGGGACTAGCTCTGTACCCCGAACAGCACTGTGATGCTGTGATGAAGCTTTATCTTTTGCACTTTCAGGAGTGTCTTGAACGTTTGTGCTAACATCTGCCGGACCATAACGGTGTCTTCGGGACAGGATGATTGGATCAGATAGGCATTCAGAACTGACTGAGGCACCTTCACTTGCTGCTACAAACTCTTCAGAGGGTGGTTTAGAGGTATTTACCTGGGATTTCCTTCCATGAGATCCAGAACCTCTCTTGGGTCTTCCATTATCTGGTTTGCCTTGGAAGGGAATAGATAGTGATGCCCTTGATGTATCAGATGACTTCAGTGAGCTAGAAAGTTTACCAGATAATGCGCTGTGCTTCTTGGAGTGGACAGAGCTGTTTTCAGTGAACAAGGACTTTGTTGAGTCTATCAAATTCTTTTGCAGAGGGTCAGTGTCAGAATTGTGTGATTCTTTCTTACCACCACTTTCAGCCTTCTCCTGCTTAAGGATACTCTTTTGGTTTCTGTGAGTGTTAGAAGATTTTCCAGAACTTGAAGGACTACTCCTTGAATGAGATAAGGAAGAGCTTGCTGAACCTTCAGAACTGAAAAGTGAAATGTCTGGAAGGGATGCATCTTGGCTTCCTGTAAGCTTCTGAGAAGAACACAAACTACAGCAATCTTCTTCAAAGAGCGGGCATGAACCAGAAATTGTTTGTGGACTGTCTTTTGCCTGATGCCCACTTAGCTCAATGTTCACATCTTCTTGGTGAACTGCTTGGCTTAACTTAAGTTGCGGTGAGGCTGTCGATACAGCTTGTTGCTTCTGGGAACAGGCTTCCACCAATACTGACGCCTTACCTCCTGATGAAGATTTCTGGCTCCGTGGCTGGCTTTCGGGACGAGATAAAGATGCACTCGTCCTCCTTCTCCGAACATCTGCAGTCACATCATTGTTGGTCTTCATGGTAATGCAGCCTTCAGAAACATGTTCAGCCTTTTTAAGGGAGGTTGGAATGTCTTCTGAATCTTTTGTCATTTCACAGGAGCTGCTGTTTTCATGTAATATGGTCGCTGATCGGCTAAGACGTTCACTTCTCCGCCTGCTTCCCATATCCCAGTGTTTGATTTCAGTGACTGTAGCACCTGCACTCCTGTGCCTCTTGTTGGCCAATCTCGTCCCTGGGGAGCTCACTTCTTCCGGACAGGACTTTCTCTTCAATGATAACTTGCTTCTTGTAGAGGAGAGATGCTTTTCTTGAGATTGGTCTTGGCTGATGGAAGACTTGGCATTGCTGGAAGTTGCCATGAAGGTTTCCTGATAGTGAGCAGGAGGGGAGATGAGCATTCTTTCACTCTCCTGGTTGGATGATGAAGCCCTTAAGGTATTCAGAGAGGAAGGTTCCGGTGAGGCCTTTGATCTTTGCTTCAACGATGTCTGAGGTGACTGTGTGTTTTTACACAGCTGAACGTTTCCTGACATCACTGCAGTTTCACATTTAGGGTTGCTATCTGGCAGACGTGCTCTGAGAGTAAAGTCTTCACTGGGTTGTGATGGGATTGTCTCAGGTACTGTGTTTCTCTGTGATCTGCTGGATTCCAAGCCACCACGTCTCTTACTTGACGTAGGCTCTCCACATTTGATGAACTTCCTACTGATTGGAGATGTTTCTGCTGGCACTGGTATATCCATCTTCTTTGTTTTCTTTGAAGCCTTTCCTGCAGGAGTCTTCTTGAAAGAAACCATCTCCTGGCTGGGGGACCCTGGAGAGTGTATCACTGCTGATCTCACCTTTCCCTCTTCAGGCCCCTCCTCTGGGCTCTGGTGAGTTTTCCGATTTATGGATGCTTTTGCTGTCTGGCTCTTCTTGGGTCCTGAGATGAATATGACATTATCCGAGTCCTGGTCCAGCTCGATGGAATCTGTATCTGAGCCTGAAAGATGAGCAGCAGCAGCAAAGGGGCTGTGAGCGAGTTCTGCAAAGTAACAACAATGGGAGAATGAAATCGTTATTGGCAAATTCAGCAGTGGGCAGATCTATTCAACATTTATTTGCAACTTTTCAATCCCAACAAATCATCTTGATTCATGGTGCTTTCTTATCTCGAACAAAATGTACATGGTAAATGACTGTTTTTCAAATACATGAGACAAAGGTAACAAAATATTTCAGAAAGATTCAGGCAGGATCAAAACATAAATCCATTTAACTTTTTAAGATCTGTGTATTTTGGGTCACTCTGCTCCGTATCACTTCTGATAACCAAAACAGCTTTTGAATTTCAAGAGGCAAATAGGAAACTCACCAATATTGTCCTGATCATATTTGACTTCGTCTTGATCATCTTCTCCGCTTCCAAGGTCAATAGACTCTGTGGTGTCCCCATCACTCTCGACTTCTCTGCATCCGTCATCTTCCGTATCCACCACAGTCCCCTGGGTGCAGACTGCAGTCTTGCTCTCTGTATGCTCTGGAGTCTGTTTCTGCTTTTGTGCTTCTGCTTGTTCTCCTCCCAGATCTTCAGTGAACAAGCTTGCAGAGCCTGCAGAATGCTGCTGTGTGACTTCTGGAGTCAAATCAGGTTTCTTGTTAACGGATGAGTTTGATTCTGCCGAAGTGAGTTGTGAAGTCTCATCTGGAACTTTGTTTGGAGAAACGAAAGATGCCGGTGGAATCCCATCATGTCCTTCACAGCTCATAGTCACTTGGGTGGGGCTGGCCCTTGTCACCTTGTTACAGGAAGACCTTGTCTTTCTTAGTCTGGAATTTCTACCTTTAGAATTAGCAACCTCATTAGCCATCTTTTCTGGACTTTCAGAAGAGACTTTGTGACAGTTTCCACTGTTTTGACGTGTTCTTCTCTCTGGGAAAGACGTTCCTCCGGTGCCATTGTTTGAGGCAACTGGACTTGAAGGCAATGGACTCATCAACAATTCCATCCTTGAACTAAAGTTTCCCGGGACATTTTGGACTGATATCTCATCCCAATTCTTGTCTGAGGTGAGAGCTACATCTTGAGGTACATGTATCACTGCTTCGTTTGCTTCTTTTTTGGAGGTGGATGGGAAGAAATCTTGCTTCATTGGTTTCTGGACTTCTGGTGTTGCAACTTGTTCAGCTGTTGGTTTCTTTCTCTTGGATCTTAACTGGACTTGTTCATGGTTAGAATCATAGGATTCAATCTTTCCACCATCTTCACCATCCAGACCTTCAAGATGGGCAGGTGGGAGGCCTGATGAGTGTCTGCTACGTCTTTTCCCTTTGCTCCTTGTAGTTGGAAGCTTATTTTTCCCGACATCAGTTCTCCCTGATCTTTGGGGCTGTCTGAGAGTTTTCTTTCCAGCTATTATAATGTGATCCTCATTAAGTTCTGCTTCAGGAGTTTTGTTGGGCTGAGATCTACTCTCCTTTTTCCCAGTTTCATCAGCATTTGCACCTGTCTGACTTTGGCATATCTTGGAGCCTGCCTCTTGTGCCAGTCTGCTCTTGACATGACCTCTCACTCTATGCACAAATACGTCAAGCTCTGGTTTGGCTCTGCCTGCCTGGACAGGCTCCTCTTTCAACTCCGTCTCTGTCTTTCCTCGTCTGGAGGACCTCAGACGAAAGTGACGAGGCTCAGTGTCAAATTCTCTCGCTAGTTCAAGGGCCAGCTCCCAGTCACTTTTGATTGCTGCTGCATCAGAGAGTTTCAATTGCAGAGTTGTGCCATCCTTTTGTATGATCTCCTTTTCCAGACCAGCATTTGAAATAGATTGCTTTACTTCATCTGGGTGACTATAGATTTGGTCCTCATTTGGGTCCTCCACATCCGATTCTTCTGTGAGGTCAACAACTTTATCATCTTTGGGCTGGTTGTCTTTGTCAAAGAGGTTTGGCTGAGAGACAAGTGTTTCAGGTGTGCTTCCATGAGGTATTCCCTCAGATTTTGTATGATGCTCTGTCTTGCTTTTTTCGGTAATACCATCTTTATCAGACTCTGTGGCCGTTTCACTTTCTTCTCCCAAACTGTCTTCGTCACAAGGAAACATCATCTGAACTTTGTCATCAAGATGCTTCTTACTTTCTTCAATTTCAGTGAGATTACCCCCTTTGGGGCTCTGTTTGATTTGCAAACTCCCCCTCTTGTACACCTGTCCAAAAGCCCCAGATGTAGCCAGGGGACTGTGCTTCTTGACTACAGGCTGGGAGCACCCCATCACCTCTGATGCCTCCTCCCTATCCTCAAAAGATGCTCCCTCCAGTGCAGACAGGTAGTGAGGTGCATTTATGAGTTCCGAGCTTTCCTTGCGTCTTGAGAGCCTTTTTTGCGGTGTTGCATCGTGAATTATCACAGAGGTACTGGGTTCTGCCGCAACAGTGGATGGCTCATAAGATGGGTCAGTGAGGCTAACTTGGGTACTCTCTCCGTCATTATCCCCATGACAGCTGGCCTCTTCAAATCGGTAATCGCCATCCTCATCGCTGCTCATACCTGCAATGTGTGACTCCTCGAGTGCTTCTCTTGCTTTCGTGTCTTTCCCAGGGACGTGAGATTCTTCAGCTCCTGATTGATTGATTTCATTCGGTTCATCAGTTTGTCTGCCTCTCTGTGATGCACCACCCTGTTTGCTCTGTACCTTCAACACTTTTTTAGAATCACAAGTATGAGCCTCTCCATTTTCTTTTCCATCTTCTTGGACTTTTGTTTTGCTTCTAAGTCTTCTGGTGGATGTCTGTTGTGGAAGCCTGCCCTGGTCCTCATGAAAATCGTCCTGCGGCTGTTTGACATTTTTGTTTTTCCGTTGTCTTCCTCTAGAGGTTGGCTTTTTCCTCATCTCTACTTTTGTTGCCTCATCTTGACAGACTTTGGACATGTGCAGCTCTTTGTCTGTAGGGTGTGGTGTGTTTGCTTCATTTGGGACAGCTTCTCCAGAGTGATGAACCATCTTTCCACTTGAATTTTGTTTCTGCTCTCCACTCCATGTCCTTCTGCGGAAGGCTGCTGTGCGTTCACAACCATTTGGTATAGAATCACAACTAGCTGGTTTCACATGCTCAGCAACTGCGGCCTGCTGCTTTCCAGAAATTGGTAAATCAACATCTGTAATCCTGGCTGCATCGCATGGTTTTATGAAACCATGATCCTTGAAGACCTGCAGAGATTCATTGGTGATGTTACACACTTCATTCTGCGGTTCAGGTTGACTGACGACTACCTGGCTCCCTTTCGGGTGTTTTCTCTCTGCACTCCCACTCCTCTTCCACTTCATGTAGTCAAACCCCTTGGCAGCGTTCCCACTCGGGTTCTTCTGACGCCTGCTTCGTTTCAGTTTGAGCTTCCTCGGGGTGCGCTGGCTGGCAATGAACTCGTATGGATCATCTTCCAGATCGTCGTCTGCTGAGGATGAAAGACTGCCTTTGCTTGTGGGAGATTTGCTGACATTTTCTGGACAAGTAGTATCTGCATCTGAAATCACACAAGATCCACTTGTCTCAGAGTTGTTCACTTTCAAAACCTCTTTTTTAGAAGCTTTGCCATTTCTACTCTTCTCTTGGGATGTACCTTCTCCAGCTCTGTCTACACGCATTCTAAGGGATTCCCGATCAAACGCTCGCACGAGTCTACCATCTAATTCGTGACTTGTTTCTCCTGGAAACTTGTCCTTCGCTTTACCTGTTTGTCTTTCTTCCTGAGGAGTGCCATTCCCCAAGATGCCTTGGGAGCCTTCATCAAGAACCTCCAAGAGATTGCGGCCATCTTCAATCTGCCCATTTTCGGAACTGTGTTTGCTGCTTGGAAGAACAGAGGCATTGGAGGACGAGCCTCTGTGTGATCCTGTTCCCTTCATTGTACATGTAGAATCTTGATTGGTTGGTTGTAAGGGCGTTCGAGTGACTGGCTTCTTGTGACTTTTTTGTATGGCATTCTTTCCAACCACCGTACTGCAAGTTCAAAGCAAAATAGCAGTTACTATGCAATCGTTAAGATGAACACTTTGTCAACGTAACTTCAGGTTTAGTGGAATTTTTCCAACCAACTCTTAACACTCAAAAATGTTCTTAACTTTTGCCAACCACAAAAAGCATCAACGTGGTTACACGCGCTGTTTTGACTGCCTACAAATGGGCACTGGACATTTAAAGATTTCAATAGGTTTTGAACCAAATAAAGAGTTAGTTTCCAAGGTCTTGCAGAGCCCGGGAAAATAGAGCCGACTTTGTTGCTAAGTCCAGGACATTATTTGAACAATTTTATTTGCTTTAAAAAGGTTACATCCAACTTTTTAGGGGTTTTGAGTGAGCATAGAACAGGATTAGGAAACAAACCAGAGTATCCATATGCAACTGGTATACAGACATTAATAAGTGCACTACATTTTTGCATTAATCTTCAGTAGGACAACTATAAAATTTGAGATTGATAAATCAAACAGTCAGCTTGCAGTCCTTTTTTAATAAAGTTAAATGCAGTGTCCTTCCGTGTTTGTCATTTACCCTCTTAAAACACCAAGACTTAATTTGGGTTTCATCATAAATGTCCACTTAAAAATGTTTCTTAAATGTTTCTTAAAAGAAACTCGACACATTATATGAGCAAATACCTGTCAAAGTCAGTTATGAGAACTTCTTGAGTGCTGCCTTCAGAGCTGTCAGTGTCATCGCTGTCAATGTAGACGGCAAAAGAGCCAGTGCTTCTCGGCTTGGCTTGGCGGAGGTTGCCTCTCTTGCTTGATCGACTGGTCTTGGATTTTAAAAAAAACAGAGTGCAGGCCAGGCAGTGGCTTAATAGAACATCACTTCGGGTGGTGTCAAAAGTGTATCCATTTGACAATTGGTACACTATAACTCAAAGTCTAGGGATTTGAGAACAAGAGAGAGAGCATGGGCCTACATTGAGACGGTTCCAAATCTGATGCTTGTAAACCAGCTAGATGTTCCACACAACAGTGGTCTGAGTGGCTTTTTAGTGTTTTCAAAAAACGTACATATTTGGTACGAACTGCCTGAAGTTTCCACAGGTAAGTGTTTTAACGTCCAGTATAAAATCTTGAAAAAAAAAAATAAGAAATTGTTCATTTCATAAATTTGTTGAGGGAAAACAAACAAAAGCTGATTTTTTTCCCTTTTATTTCAATACTTTTATTTCAATTCAATATTTCAAGCCACCCTCTTCCAAATGTGATTCCAGGCCTGACAAGTACCTTGTTTGATGAGCTCGCTGTTGGTCTGCGGACTGGCTTGTTCTGTCTTGATTTTTTGGCCGCCTGGGGCGAAGGTTTGGACTGCTGTGAGAGGACTCTGGGACCTCTGGGTGGGGTGCCTGCAGAACACAAACAATGCACAATTCGGAATCAACATTTCCACGTTATCTGTCAACAACCCCGAAACTCCCTAGGAGTGCTTTGCTCGTGCAACCTTCTGGATCCCCCACAGAACAAGAACCAAATGGAGAATTGGCGCGAACCAAATAAAATCAACTGAACATTAACATCAATCCGTTCACGGCACGCTGCTTCAGTTGTGTATCTTCCTGAATCTTGTATAATCCTTCAAACCTTTTGGTAGATTTTGGATGATCTCGGAGTGGTAGGTTCAGTAAAGCTTTGGGACTTCGAAAACCTGACATTTGGCTCCGCAGGAAAGGTGTGAAAAATTTCCCAGAGGTATAATGACTATACAGTAAACAATGTTAAAAATGCAAGAAATAATAGGAAAATGATAGGAGAAATAGCCTCAAAATCCATTGATGAAGGAAAAATCTTGCCTGGAAAACCAGTACAGTACTTGATACAAGGACTCAAAATTGTAGACACTGATTGATAAGAAAAATGAAATTATAAAGAATGAAGAAGGAAGGTTTTATTTGGACAACTTACATCTCAAGCCTGTGTCTTCTTCCACAGCTTCGACAACACTTCTAACTGCTCTGACAATCTCATTCAGACGCTCATTGCTAGTCAGGCTCCTGTGAAGTACAAGTACATGTAATAACAGGTGGCAAGTCATGGCCCCAGACGAACATAGGGTGCTCCGTACAATGCATCTGGCATGGGCAACTTTTCAGTTACTGGGGATCTAAAATGAACTTTAACCCTTCCTGAGCCAGAAAAGTGAAAGTCAAAAATTCCGCCAGTCACCAACAGTCGGATTATAATTCTAGTCAGTACTGCAACCGGTTCAATCAACTGACAGAAATTCAATCAACTGACAGAAGCAGACAACAGGTTGACAAAGCTAGCTCAATTATCGCCAGTCAATGCACGGCTATATCAAGGTATATCGACGGACCTAGCGCTACAAACTACTACTTCTGGCTAGTTTCCTTCCATTGTTACTTGTACAGAGAACAATAAAGCCATGCATTCAAAGTGCCACAGTGCTGTATGGTACATTGTCTTTTCTCTTGTATTTTATGGCTTCAGAGAATAATTTGGTCATGTCCTCTTACAAGCGGCAGCACTGATTACTACATTTTACTACAAGTAGTAATTTGTAGTATTATGTAGGGTTAGGGTTAAAAGGGGTTTTTTTCTGTTCATGCCAAGATGCAAATTCTGAATGTAGACTGCTTCATTTGGAGAAAACAGAGAAAACGGGGGGAACCCTTGCCCTGCATTCGAAGGCAAACAACGGCTACATGCATTGTTTTTTGCATGCAGTAATCGATACTGCTGACCTCTGGTGGACAATATTTTGCGTGCCCCACTCGATAAAAATTGTAACCAGTAAGTAATTTGACATAGTTTTCAAGAAACTGGCTTGTTGGTCTATTGAGCAACAACCACCATGATGGCTTATATTACATGCATAAGCTTTCAAATTCTACGAGCATGGGTTATTGTTATCATCACAGGCATATGCAAACGGCGTGGTATTTTTACTCGAATCCTGGCCGTTTGCTATTTGAATAATCAATCGATGATCGATTATTCAAATAATCGATATATTTGAAACAGCCCTAACCCAAATATATACTGAGTGGGGTATTTTTTGGAGGATTCCTTTGCATTTCCTTCCATTTTTCTCTCGTGATTGCCCACGTGTTGTCTATGCTGGATCTGCTACTGACTCTGGTCTGAGTAGAAAGTGGCCAGATTATTCTGTTGGGACTCCATCAAAATTCGGCCAAGCAGAGGCACTGGATTCCAGAGGAATTGAGGCACTTTGGGATGGACGATGACTTACCGTTTGGTGACCGGCTCTTTGCACAGCGGGCAGGAGGCGGACGAGCGCCGGCTATTGTCCAACAGAGCAAGGATGCAGAAACTGGAACAACGAAAATGACTGAGGTTGAACGACGGACCACACGATGTTCGCCATTCCTCGTCGCCACTAACCTCCTTTGTTTTCTTCACTTAATTTTCTTTTTACAATAAACATGTACCTTGGCTACAGAACTAAACCAGCCCTGGCCTGGTTTCTCACACAGAAAGCAATGTGCACGTACACCTTTTAAGTCAATTTTATTATGATATTATTGATTAACTAACTGAAGGCGATCTTGATTCATCTGTAACTGAGTTAATTATCATTTCAGTTAATTTTCTGGAAGTGAAAGGAAATAGGAAGATACACTAATATCTTCCAATACGGGCAATTCACCATAGTGCGCCACCAAGAGTTTGCGATGCGTTGGCCAATCGTAATGCGCGAGATTTGTCGACCCTTTCCAAACGCGCATTGGGTCGACAAATTTCACGCAGTGTGATTGGCCAATGCGTTGCAAACCCTTGGTGGCGCACTATTGTGAAACGGCCGTATTAACAAATGATTTCTACCTCGATAACACTCACCTGCAAAATTGATGGTCACATTTTGTGGACACAGGGTCTTTCAACAAGTCCAGACTGTTGGGAGTTTGAAAAAAGGAAAGTCATACATGCTTATCGTGATTATGTTGCAGCTTTTCACACGCTGGATACAGACGACGAACGTGATGAAAGAAGTCTTGCCAACTGCATTTTGTCAACATAATCGCTAACACTGTTCACCAGAAAATAGCCAGAGGCGGATGCACGTAGTGTGGGGGTGCATGCTCTCCCCCTTTTTTAAAAAAATTAATAGATAAAAAAGAGAGGAGGGAGGGAGAAGGAAAAAAAGGGTCAAACTGCCTGACTTTGCACCACAGAGTGCCTAGAATCCAATTCAATCCTAGAGTCCCTTAAGCGGGCCCTGGACCCCATGCCGTAAGGGCTTTGTGCTATGCACTCGTGGGCATTACACAATTGCTACTTTAGTTTACCTCCCCCCCTTTTTGGATCACGCCCCACCTTTTGGAAAATCCTGGATCTGCCCCTGATAGCCCACTTGGTTTGTGAGTTTGTGACCACTTTTTTGTTCAAACTGTAGGCCTGTTGAGTGCAACCTTTCAAATACGCAAATTTAAAATTTGTAGGTGCAATTTTTAAATGTTGTGCAACAGTCGTACGCAAGAGACTGACATCAACTACATGATTTGGTTTGGTCTGTTCGCGGGTGATGTGTGTGCTGCATGTACACGTACGTGTACAGCGTAGCACCTACTTATAGGGCCGGGATATGGTACGTCATGTTAGCCAGCCGTGAGAAATTTCGCCACTCAAACATTTTGATGAATATTGCCACGTGAGAATAATTATATTCCCCTGTCAACATTTAATTTGGACTTTGCTTCCCTCTGAAGAAAAACCTTCATGAGAGCTTTTAAATTCCCCTGTTGACATTTAATTTGGCATATTCTTAGAGCTGTGCATGTATTAATTACAAATATATCTGCAATAAAAGTAGGATCCCAGACAAAATAAATAACAATCAGGGAAACTAAGGATTTTGAAACGACCCCCAAAACTACAAGTAGTTTGTACTGGAATCCTAGCCGTTACTCAAGTCAACAGTTTCCCAACTTGACTGGTGCCAGACAACTGGAGACTTTCAAGGAAATGGGAATCCTGACACCGCTGGCCAGGGCCGGATGAACGCTGATCACTGTGACTCCCTTTAAAAATTGCACAGTTCCAGGCACAAAAGTTGAGCACATTCAAAGATTGGGAAAGTGTTCCACATACATTTTAGTTTATACAACATGTATGGACAACACTAATTTTCACTTAAAATATTATAGCAGCCACCAGAAAGTGATAAAAAGACCTAACAAGTGAAATTTTGGTGAGAAAATTCCATAGCATTTACTTAGCATGCTTAGAAAACAAATATGGAACTCTTTCAAAAGATTGTGCTTCAACGTTAAATATCTGCCTGTCTGCAGGTCTGCGCAGATTGAAAATATGCGCAATCTAATAAAACTTGATCAAGGAAGATTGCACAAGTTGCACAATTGCAAAGCATTATCATGGACATTATTAGACGGACAGGCCTACAAACTGACAATGACAATTGACATGATGAGTCGAGGAGTAGGCCTGTCACTTGCTTGACTTGCACGATGCTACATAACCGGAGTCCAGTCCAGCCACGGCGAGGCAATTTTTCAAGTACACTTTTACAACGCACCATGGCGAATCTTACCATATGGAACACTCCAAGTTCTTCTGTATTTCTCCCAGCGTGTGGTTTACTTTTCTGACGGCTGTATTCATCGACATGGCGGGAGGGCTGATTTGTGTATGTTACACAACTTCACAATGTGGGTCTATCTATCGAAACAGCAAACTTCGCTGGGCCTACTCACACAGTCTGACAGTCATGACAGTGCTTCAATATCGCTGGAAGTTCGTTTCAGTCTTCGGTCAGTCTCAGCTCCTCTCACCATTTAGAGACTCTGACATGTCTAACATATCTTACAGATTTATATGATAAGAAAACTGAACTCAAAACTTCGAGGCATGTTTCTGATTTGGGCGAAATGTAGGGAGTCGACCAGTGTCCGGAAGGCTGAAATTCCCGCGAACCATGATTTTGGGTTTCCCGCAGAAACTTTAGGCTGGCTCCATGCTCTAAACTCACAATGTTGCTTCAACAGCACGTAATTGCGCCGTTGTTGAAGTGGGTATCAGACTACTGCAAGGGGAAAATTTTATTGTGTTACTCCGAAAAGTGGCCAGATGATTTTCTGTAAAGTGTCAGCGCGGTAGTTCTTGATTTGGTTTTCAATTTTTCAGTGAAATTAAATTTTCATTTTTTTTTGTCAAATAGCAGCATTTTTTGAGTGAAATCCAGTCAAATCATTACTGAAAGGGGCTTCGAAAATGGAAGATAATCTACACAATATATTTTTCATAAACAATTTTTTTTTATATGTACAGCGCCATCCAATATTGACAACGCCGCCATCGACGGCAAACAATCATTATTTTGAGAATTCGCGCTTGCTGGGTTGAGATTCCTCGTACTAGCTTTGTACATGTATATGATGAAGTTCTGTCGACCTTTTACCTCGAATATTCGTTGATTGTTTTCATCAGCAAAATACGGAGTTTTTGGACAGAAATCATTATTTTCGGGCCGTTACTTGAGATGTTTGTCTAGTCTTTTAATGCTTTGTTGATGTTTACATATGTGTCCCCTCAGCTGATTGGAAATTTGATAGTCAATGGCTTACGATTATTTCACCAAGGCTGACTAATCAAGCGAAGCCTCCTCGCTACGCTGCAGTGATTTTTGTACACTGTAAGGACAATATGTGCGTGAGGCATGGCAAGATATTAACCGTTTGAGAGTTGATTCCAACGGACGGCCCGGCAACTGAAGTGAAAGTCCTCAATAATGGGCATCTCGTGTGTCCAGAGCGCGGAAGTCATCACTGGTACTTCAAAAAATCAGTTGAAATCGTCTTGCAGTCGCTGTTTTGCAGGTCCAAGAGACATGAGAGATGGCTATCTTAAGAATGCTCTGCAAATACCAGTCTCTGAAAGTGTCTCTTGGGGCTGGAGTGGGGATTTACCTTCTGTTGACTCTTGTCAGCTTTGGCTTCAACAAGGTCATTTGGAGCCCGCGTGTGGTGCACCGTGACAAATTCAATACCAACTTTGGTGACCATTTTGATAAGTGGGTCGCCCATCGGCAGCATCTCCCAAGATCGTCGGTCTTCGATGCCAATAGTGACAGGATTTTTTATAGCAATATCCAGGGATATAGTGACAAAAAGCTCTCCTCGTCAAGGACAAAAGCCGACGGAAGTTTCGCAGAACTGAAAAGACTTTTTGGAGTGGACGTTTTCGGCGGAGATTCCAGTGACGTCAACCCTCCAATGCTTCCGCCGAGTCTGAACCTGGATGAAGTACCCTTCATGAGAGATTCGCATTATAAACCATCAGTATGTTACCTTACACCCCAACTTTAACGTCAATCCCCAGCCGTAACTGGGACAGCCTCAACTACGAGCCTGTTTGTTTCACTTGGATCTAGATCTTGACAAGCGATTCCAAAGCTGGTCCGATCCATCCATTAGGCGGGTTTTGTTCTCAGTGAACCAACGACGGATCACTGATCCAGATTCAGATTTGTGTGAAACAAACGGGCCCGGCGGTGCTGCAGATGGGCTGGCCCCGTGGTTGGCAAATTTCTACCGAAAATTCCTCAGCCTTCTCTAGGCTTTTACAAGACCCAGCTGATGGAATTCATAAACAAATATATGCCAATTTTGCATTTATAAACAAGCTATAGATATTCGTGGTGGCATGTGCAGCTGATATGGGCCTACAAACTGAGAATGGCACATGCTATCGCACACCACAGTATGTGGGCTGGTCCATCTGCATCACCACCATAGAGGTGGAACCCTCCCAACTATAGATTTTAGGTTTTCCTTCAACATCCTGTAGGCTTGCTACTAGTCAGTGGTCGACATTCACGTTGGCGCAATCTGTCAATCAGTGTGACCACATTGCCCTATCACTGAGTCGATCCCGCATGAAATCTTCAACTTTGCTTCCCTTGTTTGATAATCTTCCACATCAGTGAATTAGAAGGAAAAGGCAACCGATAAATTCCACAGCAAGGTCAACCAGTCGTGCAGAGATGGAGCGATTGCGCAGATCAACTGGTTGTGCCCAACTTTTAGATTACGTAAATAATACAGGAGACGGTAGATATTGATCAAGATGGAAAGAATATTTCATTTGCGCTCATTCATATCAAAATGATTTATAAGAATTACTTCTTTAATCATCACCTGAATTTTAGAGATAAGTTTTGTTAGAAATGTTGTCAAATCTTCCCCAAGAAGCCCAATGATGCATTCTTCCTGTAGGATTTTTCGAGAAGATTTTGGCCTGATGTCATGGTTGTAAGGCACTAGTTTGAATTGTCTTATGGGGGTAATTGTGGAGTTGGTTATTAACATTAGTTTTTAACCAAATTGACAAAAATTTGAATGAAAGAGTAAACCTGTGGCCTTTACATCTTCATTAGCACTGTCCATGCCAAGATTTCCAAAAAATGTTTGATTTTTGTTGGCTTAAGTTGTGAACGAGATAATTTAGAAAGAGATCTGTGTCCAGCCTCCCAGATTTTCGAGTTTCACAAACAGTGCCAAAGTTTAAAAAGGGTGCCTTGAAAGTAGGAGGTCGTAAAGTCGGAATGCAGCACTCTTTCTGAGATGTTTGACTCTGCTCAACTTGTTAGATTCAGCAGGGTTATTTCAGTTTTTGTAGGATATCTCAAGAGAAAACCTGAATCAGGTTAGGGTTAGTTTCTAATTGGCTTCAACTATTAGCCCCCCCCCAAAAAGTCTTTCGTTTTGGGTCAGCGCGTTCGTCAATTTCAAGCATCCGTCTCACTCTGTTTTTTTCTCTCTGCGAGAGCTGCAACAGCGCCCTCTTTTGCTGCACTGCCTCAACATTTTTGCAGGTAGCTCCATCTTTTACTCAGGGCGATGGATCCCAACAAGATCTATGCTGAACAACGAAAGCAGACTTATGGACACAAAGTTGTTGGTGGTCAGCTTATAATCTCAATAAAGCTGGTCTAGTCCCATGACTCGACAAAGTGTGTCTGCAATTGTCTGTACAATCCAACCCTGGAAAAGAGGGAAAAAACGCATCACCGCATCACTTCCGGAACATCAGTTTGACCAGAGACTTTTTTTAGGGGGGGGGGTTTATGTTTTCTCTTTACATAGCCTCATTTTGTCCTCAAGTTAAGCGACTTTTGCATTTGTTGTTTTTATTTAGGAATGTCCTAAGACAGTTTCATCCATAACCAAGTACTCCCGCTGGTTCAGAGAGCGATTTCAGCCAGACATTAAGATCCTCCTAGAGAGGACGGACGTTGATGTGTACTCTGATTACTACAAGCTCCTGCACTACAGACTTCCGTTTGGCCTCAGACTGTCCAATAAGACTCGTAAGTGCAGGATCGTTCATGAATCTCGTACAGAAATCGGCCATTTCAACACGGTGCTGGTATTTTCCCACTTTTTTCAGTGCCTTAGTTCAAAAGGTGGTCATGAAATGCCATACATTAAAAACACTTCGGAAACAATTTCCTTTCTGGCAGAAGGACTCCTTAAACCCCCCCCCCCAAATTTTGATTGGATTTAGGGCTGTGCCGAATAAGTGAATATTCAATCGATTGTCGAATTTTCGAATATTATTTTCAAGTTTGAATTTTCGAATGCACAATTCAGGAAAAGGCAGGAAAAATTTGTTTTGTTTTGAATGAGAAAAATTGTACCATGGAAGCGTGTTTCAAGCAGATTCAAATGAAAAGCGTCAGAAAAAGTAAATTATTCATGAAACAATTTAAAAGGAATAGAAATTTTCAACAGAGCAAGAAGTCTTGTTCATCTCTTGAATTTTGCTAAATCGTGGCTGGAGATACTCCTAAATACAAGAATTTATTCTATTGATAATAATGTACAAATGTGTGTGTTATTGCAACTGATTTTGGTTTGCTCCTCAACAATCTGCCAGTTGGTGTGACTAAATATTCGGATATTCGATCGAAAAGAAGGTCAAATATTTGATTAGTGAGTTATTTGAACTGACGCAGCCCTAATTGCATTGCTTTTATATTCAAGACCCTACCGTCCCCCAAAGCGTCCAACTTCTTACCCTCATCTATACAATGTGTCTGTCACTGTTTCGGTTGTAGAGCTGACCACCATTTTGAACCACCCCAGCTTCACCAACTTACCCCTCTATGCCGAGGGCAGACCCCAGGGTTGCCTCAGCTGCGCCGTGGTTGGCTGCGGTGGTATCCTGAATGGGTCTGGGGCAGGCGCAGAAATTGACAGCCATGATTATGTTTTCAGGCAAGTCCTAACATAGACTGGTTTCAGGTCTGGGTTTTTTTCCAAATTTGAAGGAGAATGATTTTTATTAGCATCCCATATTAGATTTCAAGCCAAAATTTCAGAACTAAAGGTACATGGACATGCAACTTAAGCCCCCGAGTAAAAGTGGCACAAAGGAATTTGTCAACTTTGAATTAAATTGTCATCCGAGAATATTGATCCAAATCTTGATGAGTCCAGTTTGCCATTTCAAACCTCTTGTAATTTTATTGACATGGGTAAAAAAGGATATAAACAAATTGTGTTTTGGAACAGCAAATTTCCAATCTTGGATTCTTGATGCAATGAGTCCACACACAGCACACAAAAGTCCGTTTGTAGAATGTAGTCTGCTTGAAACACTAGGCACACTTTACTTTGTACATTGTCTTGATGGTTGACTTCGAATAGAGTATTTTTTTGGGATGGAAAATGAGCAGTGGGCAAAACCACAGATTACTGGCTTTTAAGTTCCTTGCTGATTACCCCGAGCTGTCTGCCGACTCTTCCAATAGGCTGAACCGCGCTTTGTCCACTGGTCGCTATGCAGAGGACGTTGGGCACAAGACCAGCTACTACACCTTCTTCCCAGAGTCCATGCATGCAAAGGATGTAGAGGATAAGGTAATTACGGGGACACGGCCCCCGCGAGGGGAAATTAACACCCCCCCAAGAAAAACCACACTGATAAGGCTCTGTGGTGTGTCTAGTTTTCAAGAGGAAGATTACAGTGTAATCCTCAGCCATGAGTCAGGCACGTCGGCCATCCTTTGCTCCCTGGTCTTCATGGTAATGAGAAACCTGCCCTGTTTGTTAGAACGGGGATTTATATTGACAGGGACAAACGCAAGAGCTTTTTGTTTGGTTTGGTTTGGTTTGGTTTGGATCGGTTTGGTTTGGTTTGGATCGGTTTGGTTTGGTTTGGTTTGGTTTGGATCGGTTTGGTTTGGTTTGGTTTGCATCCTAGACACTACCTGTTTCTTCATGTTGTTCCAGTAAAGGTCTGTTTATTTTAAAAACCTTGAGAGCAACGAAATGACTGAAACAACTTTTCCAATGTTGTCTAAAAATAGTTTGAAATAACTGTTCACTCTGACTATTAAACTTAACCTAGGAAGTCGTGTCAAAATGCAATATTTCTGCAAATAAAGTTGTTTCCATGAATAACTTTCCCATAGCAATCATTTACGGCTCAGTATTACTCAGGAAGTTATTCTGACTCTTGTTTTGTCTTCTCCGTAGAATGCTACATTCTTTTATGCCATGTTCAAAGCATACGACCTGGACTATGCAATCAACATGCTGAACAACGACGATCCCCCTAGATATTTCAGTAGAGGGAGATTATAGTAAGTCAGTAGAAGTTGTTTGGATGCTGTTCTGTTGCCAAGGAAAATTGAGCCTATTAGGTCTGTGCTGATTTTTCAAATATTTGATAAGTTATCAAATATACCAATATGTAGATATTTTCAAAATCAGATATTTGGAAGTGAAAATCAACGAAATAAAAACAGGAGAAATTGAATTATTTGGAAGCAAAATAATTTTCAAAGCATAATACGGATATGAAGGCATATGCCCAACGGTAAGGCCGAAAATTACTTTTCCTTTAAGTTTCCCTTTTTGACTTTTTTTTGAAATTATGTCCATGTTGCTTCTTGTAAAAAACATGTACACTGTATAGGTGGTTTCTTTGGTTGAGGTCAGAGGGTCTTGTATTTGAATATTCAGTTATTCAAATTGACTGAGCCTTGAAGCCAGTGACTAAACAAAGGGACGTTTCTAATTAGGTCATCAGAAGGAGAAGTGCTGGTTTGAACTGTATTGCACTGGAAAGGAATCTTACCATCTACTCTGTCTTTTTCCCATCCTTTTGTCGATCCAGTCATCTGAGAAAGCCAAATATCGACAAGCGAAAGCTGAAGATCATCCATCCGGACTTCTTCCGTTACGTCTTCACAAGGTACTTGGACAACAAAGCCGTCCGGCCGACAACAGGTACTCCGTAGAAAAAAATCTTTGAGGCTGTGCGAGGCTGTTAGAGCCTATGTCGCAAAATAAGTTGGTCACAGTCTGCTGTTAATTGATTGGAATTCTGTGGCGCAGGACAGGAGTGCACAGGTATCCCATACTCTGAATGTTTCCTTCTTTCTTTAAAAACCACATTCAGTGTTGTAGGGGAAACCTTTCCGAACCTGTATTTAACCTCTTGCATAAAGGAATGTGCGATTTTAGTCAGTGTCCCTGTGCAAGACAAAAAGATCCCAGTAAATTGATTCTGACACCGAAAACAACGTGGATTCTTTGATGTCTATGTAAAATTTAAAATATCCGTATTTCACAAAATATGGAGGGCGTGAGGTTTCAATCCTAGCAGAAACTTTCTCAAAAGCAAAAGGCCTTTGATTTTGCTAGGTTCGAAACATCAGACCCTCCATATTTTGTGATTTGTATCTTAGGACACTGTAGTCGGCAAGCAGTTTGCAGCAGTTTTGTCTTACATATCAGTATTTCAAATGAGAAATTGATCTAGAAGTGGTCTTGAAGAGATTTTGATAAGGTCGCGGTGAGATTTTCACTTGTAGAAACCACATTTCAGCAAAAAGTTGTGTGCTTACTCAAAACACGTGCATCGTTATTCCTCAATCACAGTTCACGCTCTGTGGCCTAGTAAGTTTTCTCAAATTTATAAGTAACTAATTGATAAAATGCGCTGAGGTCTACCTTGAGAGATCTCAATAACAACATCAATCATGTTGAAAAACAAACGAGGGCGAAAGATAAAAATGAAAAACAAAAGGAGAGGGGGAAAGGGGAGAAGATAAGCCATTTGCTTGAAAATACCTCGGAATTTATCCCCATACCCCATTCATGGTTTGTCAGTTAATACTGCTAATGAGTGCCCCCCCCCCCCAAAAAAAATTCCTGACAAGCCCATGTCCGTGGCATCTTTCATATAGCCAGATTGTTCCTCGCACCCACAGGAGCCATCGTCGTCTTCCTGGCCCTGCATCTCTGCGACGAGGTGGACATCTACGGCTTTGGCTATGACCCCCGCTTCACCTTGCACTACTACGACCGGACCTTCCAGTCGCACACCGACTGGGGCACGGCACTGCACGACGTGGACAACGAGCGCGAGCTCTGGCGCAAACTGCACGAGGAGGGCGCCCTCAGGCTGTTCAAGAGAGACTTGTGAAAGGCCACTCAAGGCACCGCAAGTTGAGGACTACGGGTAAACGATCTCGTACGATGGACGGCAGAATACATGCAGGTAGTCAAGCATCGTTTAGCTTGAACTGAGGTATCTTGTAGACATTCAATGTGATTGGTCAAAGCCAGATGGGCATACAATAAGGGAAAACCTGTGCTATCATTACCTTGAAACTGGCATCATTTTGCCCGAGATGAGTCTCTTTTTAACCCAAATAAATTCACACAGTCGCTGTCAAGGAAGAACATCTTTATATAAACAATACTTACAAATTGGCTACAAGCACAAAGGTTTATCCTTTACGAATACAGGGTGAGGGTTCCCCTCGTTTTCTCAGAATGACGCAATCTACATTCAGAATTCGCATCTTGGCAGGACCCCCCCACAAAGCCCTTTTTAGCTTGTTAGAGTCGAGGTCTGAAGACAAATGACAATGCGTTGGATTTGGAGGTTTCCACATTTATTTGAACAGATAAAATGAGAGAAAACATGTTTGCCTTTGAGGTGCTCTTCAAAGAAAACTATGTCTGATTTTGACCAAACACGTGGCACTTGAAGATGTTGCCATTTTGACCAAACACGTGGCACTTGACGACGTTGCCAGACGGCACATGCTGATTTGCACAAAGTAGGTGTCTGGAAGTGATATCACGCTGTAAATTGGTGTTCGAATTTTTGGACCAAAAAAAAAATCTACTTTGCCTGTTTTTCCGTGTATTCTTGACAGTTTTCATTGATAGCTCTCCCGGCAGGTCAGAGGTAAAATATTTGGTGGTCGGAGGTTCAAACTTCGCCTCAGTCAAAAGTTGTACTTATTTTCTACCTAGGGTGAACAGTTTTTGGAGTGACTCTTTCTGCTTTGTGTTACCGACAATTCAATATTGAAGTTCACCGCGCGTAACCTGCTGGACATATAATGTACATACTTTCATATCTGTATAGATTGACCACCCTTTTTTGTATATCTGCTACCAAAGGAAATGTTTATTATTTGTGTGCGTTTTTATTTTTCAAATATTCATTATATGCACTTTGCATTCAACGTAATCAGGGTCCAAATGTTACTCTCTTATTTTGTGGAAAGAACAGAGTACATGTACATGTATACAGAATATAAAACTGTTTTATACTTGTTTTTTATTTTTATGTAGAACATGGTGACAATTGCTAAGAAAGTATATCAAACGATTTATGATTTGGTACAATTAAAAATTGACTAAGTAGTGACTAAAACAGTAGGCGAAAATGTTACCGTGATAGAAATAATATTTGTTATCATTAATCATGGCTGGAAATGACACCAGGGATTCCTCAAAAGTCCTTTGATAGGCACTGTAATCTCACAAGCCCTGAAGACACCTGTAGAGAGGAGACAATGAGAAGCAGTTACGCTGAGATGTGGGAGGAAAACCCCAGAGGAATATTCCGAGTAAAACCCACAGAATCGGATTCAGACCGACTAGAAACTTGTATTAGAGCAGAAGCAAAGAGAATACTTACCACAGTTGATATTTTTCTGTTTGGATGGACGTTTGACAAAGACTAGCTGTATTCTTCAGGGACTGCTTTCCTGCAGTCTCATATCTGACAAAGCAGTCCCAAATTGTTGACCCACCAATCAGGATTGAGTATTCAATTTTGCCCAAGTGGGTCAGAGCTTGAAATATTTGTTTTTCCAGTAATCATTCGTGAAATCTGATCTTGCATCACAGGTATTGCGTGGTTGTTTGGAAGTGAACCCACCTTACATTGAAATTCAACAAATACTAATTATTTATATTTATGCACGTTTATTGTAGTCAGATTTAACCGTAGGCCATACTGGTTCTAGTGTTTGTGATTAAGTCTTCAAATACTTGTTTATGGGTACACATTTCAATTTACTGTAACCTCAACCCAGGAAACCTGGTAAGCAGGAGAAATTGCCAAGCAAATTATTGAGATTAATGCACTAAGCAAAACATGGGCCGGGCACCAGTTGAAAGTAGTTGCTGGTATGCAGTCATCGTGCTGGTGGTCACCCTAATTGTGTATTATAACGTCCAGATTTTGCTTTTAAAATCTCCGAAATCTCCGGCCCATTGCATTCTGCAGCGCTGCACCCCCAGACCCCCCCCCCGACTACGCTAACGGTGCCTATTTAGCTGTTGTTTACAGATCTGTATTTGGATATGTTAGGGTTTGCAACTGACAGGTTCCAACAAGATCAGTGATAGTTAGGGTTTCACTTCATTTATTATTTCTCAGGGAATATAGACACAGGGTACAAAGTCAAGAGGCTTACGCAACATTTGCTGACACCCCTGGATGACCTAAAAGCAAACCCAGTCACTGTTGAGAGGGTCTCCTAAAATGTCACCAAATATGAAAACACTAAAATCACCTGAAAATATGTACACAAAACTCACAATTAATAAAATCAGCTTTTCAGTATGGCAAGGAAACTGCAATCAACTTTGCTGGTTAGTTTGGGCAAGATTGCACCAGGGTTTGTTGGAAAGTAGCGGGCATCATTTAAGACTGAGAAATGCCTATGTAAACATCTGAAGTTGTACTGCCAATACACAGTTGTATTGGTTATATTTACAGGGTTAAAATGTTTGAGTCAATTTGTAAACCTGTTATCATGATTTGAAGTGCCTGAAAGTGTACAATCAGATGTTGACTCTGTGTTGTTCGGTGGGTTGGTTTGAGATCGAGAACTTTGCACGGTTCTTTACTTGAAATAATTACCTTTTTGTGGGTATTGACTAACTCAAAGGAAATCCCGTATTGGCCAATTCCTGTGACGGATGTGAAGAACGAAAAAATGACAAGGCAAGTAGAAGTGTCAGATCTAAATTACCAAGAACCTCTAAATTGTGACAGTTTTCTGGGAAAACCATGTTCTAAGCTATTCCTTAAATTTCAAACAAGTCTTGTTCAATCTTGGCACACTGTAAAAGCCAAGTGCTACTTAAATGTTCAAGGAGTCAAGTGAACAGTTAAGTTCCTTGTATATTTTCTCACCAATCTATTTGTCCTACTTCTGTGCTGTTTGCAGCGTAAATATCGTTGACGAGTCCAGAGTTTTGTATATGTAATATATTTATGTAATGATATCGTAGGCATCCTTTTATTGTGAATTCTCTCTGAAGTGCAAGTATATATGACGATAACATGAATAAAAGCAAAAGCAAATGTTCAAGGAGTCAAGTGAACAGTTAAGTTCCTTGTATATTTTCTCACCAATCTATTTGTCCTACTTCTGTGCCGTTTGCAGCGTAAATATCTTTGACGAGTCCAGAGTTTTGTATGTGTAATATATTTATGTAATGATATCGTAGGCATCCTTTTATTGTGAATTCTCTCTGAAGTGCAAGTATATATGACGATAACATGAATAAAAGCAATAGTTTGAACTTGAAAATGACCATTTTTTCTCACCCTAAGTATTGATGTGACGTTAGTTTATTTGTGATTTTGAAAGTTGTGTTACATTGTTGTTTTCCATCCACTAAAACAGTTGGAAGGAAATCTCATAAGGAAATGCGAAACAAATGTTTGTATTAAAAATAAAAGGCCTCACGATTGCCGCTTCCATATAGGCGTTATTGTTCATTATTAGCCAGCCGGTACTCGGACCATGTTCTTATGTTCGTCAACAGATGGCGCCGTTTCGAGGATTGATGAAGTCGTGCTACTTTACATTGCATTCCTTCCTTTTTTCACACGGTGCGGAAATCCGAGTTGGCCAAATGATTGATTCAGCTGCTCTTTTGAACAATAGATTACTTCATGGCCACAAAGAAAAACAGTAAGTCTGCTTTCTGTCTTAAGTTGTAAAAATCAGATGTGAAGCGCGCAGGCCTATGGTGAGTACGATGAATGAGTATGCGTCGCGGCCAACTGGCCAACAGCTCATGGCAGGCACGTACTAGGCCCCGACCAACCTACGTGTCATGCATGTACGTAAGTAGGCTATGCCCCCTACAACACCGATATAACCTTATCGCTACTGCACGGGTGTTTTTCTCAATACAAAGCATGTACAGGTAGGCCAACCTGCCCCATGGGGGTAGTCCAAAGGCATCGTGCAAAATTAGGCCTTAATACTAAAAATTGGCATTTTTAATTTTATTACAAAGAATATTAGCGATTGGAAGACGGAGCTCTGACATCAGGAGCGCTTTGTGACGTTTCGTGGTGAGAACAAGCTTCTACGTTTAACATTCTGACAAATAAACAGAAGAGTTCCATACGAGCGCCAGTAATTATTCCTAACAGTGATCCATAATACTCCCATTAGCCCTCAGAAAGCAGAAAGTCCAGAATTTACAGACACACGACAGAAAAGTTAAATTTAGGAAGGCAAAATGCCAAGTTGTTTACTTAGAAAAGGTTTGGGAATTCTGAAAAATATTTTTTCGTAAACTTTTTTGGGGCCAAACTTCAAATTAAAGGAAATATAATCGGGACAGGCAGAAATGCAGTGAGAAAATACCACAAGGAAAAACTGTTTAAGACATTAGATGGATTCAGGGGATTTTTTGTGGTTTATTAAAGTTCCGTAGGTCGGAGGTTCCAATCCTGCCCCAGTCAATTTCTTTGTTCATCTTTGTAATGAAAGTGAAAGATTGTCATGGTGTGTTCTGCTTGCTCTCAACATGGTGTACATGTATGGGCAGATGTCATGCCAACCGCAGCAGCTGTGGTAAAAGTTTTTTTTTTCTCTGTATTTTTTCGTTTCCAGCGTGTTGAGGTTTGCGACGGGGATTCAGTGCGAGTAGGGATTCATGGGTAAAAATGAGAACTATGAAGGTGACTCGGTGTCTGCCATGTCGACTCGTGGTGGTGGTCGCGTCCCACCTGCGAAGCCGGAAGAGAACTGTGGTTACGGTGTTGCTGGCGAGTTTCATCGTCGTCGTTCTGACGCAGAAGTATTGGGTGCAGGCCCATCTTCAGTACCTGTTGGAGTACGACTTTGCTGTATCGCCCACCCGACGTGCCGGCAACACTGTCCGAACAAAAGTGCCATCATACGCTGTAACTGGTGAAACCAATTTGACCGAAAACAACAGCATGGTTGACTTCTATGAACCGTCGGTTAGCAACGGAATTCATATATTTAGACAGGGGTGGTAAACCAGTCCCAAAACGTTTGCCGTCTCCGCGCATGGTTCTTGTGTGAAGCATGTTTGGTGCTTAAAAAAAAATTTACCATGAAAATGATCCCTTCATTTGTTTTTGTTGAAAATTTGAAAAAAGTTGACTTTTATAAACTTCGGAGAAAAAGCGTATTTTGCGGGTACATTTGAAAAATTCTTTCTTCAGTTGCGTGATGAGAGTTTCAGAACATCTGGCAAAATCCTCTGACATGATTTTCCAACGTCCTTTTTTCCCCCCAGAAATGTCCACGAAGTATAGCATCCTTACCCAAGTACTCACAGTGGTTCCGGGAAAGGTTTAAACCGAACGTCAAGTTGTTCTTAGACAAGTTGGACGGGGACAGCATTGGGAATTTGTCATTTTATGAGCTGCCATTTGGATTCAAGGATGAGAATCATCGTTGTGAGTTCCTCATTTCTTAGCTTTCGTTTTCTTCTCTTTTTGGGGGGAGAGAGATAAACAGGATTTCTCTGTTATCAAAATTTTTGGATGGGGATTTGTTAACCCCTTTGCTACGGAGGACTGCCGCTACCGCATCGTTGTG